AATTTCCATCTCAACAAGGCTTCCATCAATTCATCCAAACACGTCTCAATAGTGCAAAACAAATGGATAAAGTTTAGTATCACATGTCTGTGAAACGATCTGATCACTACTGAATTTTTCAAACCTGGCAGATTTCGCTAGCTCTGCTTCTGAATTGTATCGGATACCATGGTTTACAAACAACGAATCGCGAAAATATGTCAGAATGGTTGAGTGCCACAAGCACCTTGCGTATTATATCGATATTGCCTTTAACGACACCTTACAATGTCACCGAGGTCTGATGGGCATCTGTGGCGAGATATTTGCTCCGATCGCCATCTATTAGGTTGTAAAGAAAGTTCCCGGGCACTTTTGAAAATTTCATTTTCAAACGCATTTTTTCGGCGCTTAATTGGACTTTGACACCAAGTCTTCTATACTGTTCAGTAGAGGAAAGCCTGAAGTTTTCAATACGCTTTCTGACTTTATCGATGTCAAGACGTGTTTGACCTGCACATCAAGAAGAGAAATCTTTTCAACCAGGAAAATTTCACAATTTTTCTTCCTACGGCCATTTTTTGTGCAGTTCAAAGAATTTCGTCCAAATCATGGGTGATCTGATTGAGAAGCCTGTTAACTTCTGATCTGCAGCTGCACTCGAGTTTTGCGATTTGCGTTCAGAATTTACAAGCTGTCGAACTTGCCTCTGGCTCCAACTGTTTTCGCAGCTGGCGTCGCTTCTGCGGGGATCGCCACGCCTGGATGATGGGTCCAAAAGATGTGCAGGGCATTACCCCACCAACGTTACCAGTAATCAAAGATTTGGTCCTTTCTGTGCAGAACTAGAAGACTTCAAATTCATTTACTCGAATAAAGGTGCATTTTTGGGGGCAAAAAATGGTCGATTTTTCAAATTTTCTGGGAAAAATTTTTTTGCAGCTGGTCCTTCAAAAACACGAATGGTCCCCGTAACAGCCCCAATGGCCTCTATATAACTACAGTATCTGGGCTTTCCAGCTCTCATCCTGCCTGAGATAGTCCTGCACAAATAGGCCACTTTTCGCGAAGACCTTTTTCCCTTCTGCGCATGCTGGTGGACCGCAGTGAGGCGCTGAGAAGCCAGCAAGACAAATTTATGCTGAGGACAAAATTGTCTTTGCAATGAAGAAAAAGAATCAATCTGCTTGAAGTTACAGCGATTTGAAAAAAATTTTCGCAAGTGCTCGGACTTTCTTTACAACCTAATAAATAGGCTTTACACAAAAAGTGCAGTGAAAGGTGACTCTTGATAAAGATCTTAGTAATCCCTACCTGCTGCTTATTGGAAGCACCCCAAGTCTCTGCTGTCATTAGTAAGCTTCAACGACAAGCATTGAGTAACGGAAGCGTTTGAACGTAGCATCCGTGCTCACATCTGGAACATCTTGCCACTGATCCTTTTCAATACTCGGATTGTGAAATTTGGTGACAAACCGTTAGATCCTGACGACACATCGTTGAGATAAATTTTTTCGGACGAGATTGGATCTCAGCTATCAGTAAAAAATTCATTCGACAACAGGTTATTGAGAAGTTCAGTGTGTAGGTGCTTGGTGGGGAAGTTTAGAACTCAACCCAACCATTTTAAGTTATATATCATGACTCATCTTGAAACGCTCATTTCCAATAGTTTACTATCTGTCGAACAACTATATCGAAGGAGTTATGAGCGTTTAGATATGAGAATATATGAGTCTCAATGATGTGATTCGTTGCAATGCAGCGGCCCCGGTCAGACTTCACGCGACTTAATCGTCGCGACCAAATCGCCGACATTTCCATTCATTTTCATTTCACCTTCAATTTCGGGCTGGAAAAGTATCACAACCGAATGCAAGTTGATCGGCATGAATGATGTTGTAACAGTTGTCTCCTCGCGATTCAGTCGCGACGATCAAATCGCGTAACACAGCCCGGGACCTGAGGGCGCGCAATCATAGTAATCATGAGTGTTAAGCTTACAAGAGAGAAGCACATTCAGCAAAGAATAAATAAGTGCTTTTGGAACGTTTTTCGTGGAACGGCTACAGAACACTCAACAAATCAGAGCATTCAAGCGCCCATTCCGCTTGGCCTATCTAGCAATTTATGGTGCGGCTTCCTGATCCAACTGAATGGACTAAATAGTTTTTGCACCTTTTTGAAGTCTTTGAGCTTCCCAGGCAAACCGACTGAGTGAGGTCGGTAAACGAAAGCCAATAGATCCTCCTTGTAAATTTCCGGTTTGCTTTGAAGATAATGTAAAGATGGACAGCAACGGAGGGGCATGGGTCCTTTCTCTACGGAGTTATACTTTCATTGTTTGCTTTTGTATCTGCTTATCATCATAGTGTCCACACAAACTATTTTCCATCGTTCTCCAAGTCGTACTGTGATTAGACTCAAACTGACATGATGATGTTTGATTTCGTTCACGTGTTTTAATCTAATGTATTACTGACATCTGATTTTGTTTTTGTTTTTATGGAACGCATTGAAGGTGCAAATGAAAATGAAAATGAAACATCTTTCTGAGCACTCACTGTCGCTTGCTCTGAGGCTCGAAGACTGATATCGGAAGGATACTTAGTCGAAGTGGCGTTTCTATAAGAATTTTGTACTGTCTCGTAGAGCATGGAAAGCTAATTCCGAATCTTGGAATGGGAGTTACGAGAGTTTTTTGAGGCAAAAGTTTAAAGTAAAATGAGTGTTGAGGTCTTTCCGATGCTTGAATGGAGTAACGACTGGCTCAGATTCATTAGAATGACGGTATTAACTGTAAGAAGCGCCCTGGTGATATCATGATCCCCTTCAAGCTCACAGACTACAGTTCTGAACGCTTCTATCGTAGCTGCGTCTCGAAATGTTTGCGTCAAAAAACTTCCATAACTCCCCTCTTAGAAGCGCTTTGCAGATACCGAAAGCAGATTCGGACTCAGCGCTTCATGCTCTATAAGACGGTACACATTTCTTATGGAAACGCCACTTCGACTAATATCCTTCCCTTGTTAGATGATGATGCCATGATGCCAATGAGTCGATTAGTATGCCAATCTTGTGCAGGAAAAGCCCATAACTCGCTTCGGTATGGTGCGCGGCAACCTGGCCCAGCCCTGGCTGTGGAGGCACCAGGCAAAAGACCGAGAGGTCAAGATGAGATGGATGGACAGCAGAATCAAGGCCGACCTGCGAGAACTTGGTATGGACGAAGACCTTGCCTTAGATTGGACGATGTGGAGACGTCTGACAAGAAAAGCAGACCCTGCTTAAGCGGGACTCATGCGAGGATAGAAAAAAAACTAGGCATGGCTTATTTGGAAGTAGCGTTTGAAGCTGAGTCAGATATATTTGTCCTTTGCCTGAATTAGGTAGCTTTCCTCGTAAGTCTCATAAAAACTTTGATATGAATCATACCTTCGATAGTCTAGAGACAGGGCGTCAAAAGTGAAGGTTTTCAAAAATCCGACGTCATAAATAGTGAAGGTTGTTTAAAGAAGATCAGAGAAGAGAATATGACGTAAACAGACATAAAAAGCGAAAGAAACTGTTGAAAACCGGATAAAAACGCTGCAAAGAGGTCTGAAATCTTTCATTTGGCGGCTTTTCGGAGTGCAAGTTTTCGCTCCAGGACCAGCAATTCGCAACGCGGGGTTTTGGTTTCTGATGTGTCCTTTGAATTTTTACCCTCGCAATGACGTTCCTGTTTTCTGGGACGTTGTATGGATTGTTGTGCTTATTGTTCTGAGCAATAATCGTCCAAGCTGGAAAAAAATCGATGCGAAAGCGCTGAAATAGAGTAAGATGAAGGAAAACGCACTTTTTGCGATTTTTCACGAAAAATTCCACCATAATCGAAGAGGTAAGGGCTGGGTGGTTGTCTGCATTATGAACAGAAGAAGGATCTATTGAAAGCACGAAAAAACCGCATGAAAATATTCAAACTAGGAGGATAACAAGAGATTTTCGAAAACAAGGTTTTTGACAAATTTCTCGATCAAATCAAAAAGTGTGGTTCTGGAACGCTGTCAGCGTGAAAATAGAGATCAAGAGCTTCAAAATGATATATAGCTTGCTAAAATTGGGTTCGAAACAGCGAAGAAAAGGGTACCAGAGCCAAATGCCCCGCACCCCGCGTTTGGGGTAGCGAGGTAGCGCGCAGCGCGCGGAGACGCAGACGAGCAGCGGAGCCAGACCAGAGCCGACGGGGCATTTGGCTCTGGTAGTAAAACTCCGCGGGGTCTGAACGAAATCCTACAACATTATATATCATTCTGATCGCCATGACACGACGAGGAGAACTGACAACGTCTCAAGCTTTAAAAATCAATCCGTTTTCGTGCGCGACTCTCTGCGCAAGATTTAAGCGCAGTTTCTCGCTTTTATTTAACTCCAATAGCTTTCCTAAACTTCTGAAACTCGATTTTGTTCTAACGAGAGGATAACTGAAAAAATTTTGTATTGAACTTTGGCGAAAATCCCGCAGAAACCTTCTTTTTAAAGTAAAAAAAGGCTATGAAAACGCAAATTCTCGGTTTCGCTGAGATAAGCCAAAGATATTATCCCCTTCACTAACATTCGTTCCGATATAGTTAGGATAATAACATCCGGGGCGAAGCCCCGGATGACTTCTGTTTTTTTTTTCCAGGTGAAGGTTGTGTCCCCCATAGCCTTCAAAGTGAAGGTTACCAGAGTACGTGGCTCTATGTATCGAGGGTATGGTATGAATACAAACAGCTTGAAAATGTGTACCGGATGCACTGCGACTGTCCCAGTCCGCCTGTATACCTAAATTATAGTCCAAAGAAAGTTTTTTTTTTCACATGAATTCCGTAAATGACAGCGAAGTGTGCTAGATGTCGACTTTTCGTTGTTCTTTGGATGAATGTTACGAAGAGAGCTAGTCGCAATCCCGTTCTCGATACGGATCCTACGAGTGTAACGCCCACTCAATTGCACTTTGCCTAGCCTATACGACGACCATAGAAGAGTAACCCGAAGACATGCTTCTAACCATAAGGTAGGTTCAAGAATTTGATTTTCATAATCCTCGTGTCTCATCTTTCGTAGAAGTGAGCATATATAACTTTCAATTTCTTTGTATTACCCAAGTTTGATAGGTGTCTTATCAGCCAACTTTTGAATGATTTTGTCCTTGAAGGCCTAAAAATGTAGGTATTCTTGCTTTACAAATTTTGCGTTGGAGCCTAGAGTCCCTGTCTTTTAAACATACTTGTCCACTCATCGTAGAGTATCAAAATCTCAACTAAATTTTTGTGGATTTTTTGCCGGTGAAAAGAATCCATCATTAAATCTACCATGGAGATCTTACTGCTTATACTATTTCCATAGAACTAGTTCGCAGTTAAATCATCTACCACATATGAAGTCTAATCCTCAACTGACTTCCACTTTTCCGTTGGTTTTTCTTTTCTTCGTGACTTCCATATGTATTTCTTCAAAATTATTCTACCACCAATGTTTTGCAGTTTTTGTTTTTCAACGAAATTCATTGTTTTTGTCCTTTTTTTTCTTGGTGAATGCGCGCCAAAATCTATTTTCATTGAAAACTTGTCAACCTTGCAACTCTTGATGAACAAATATTTTTTATTTTCGGTGATTCACTCGACAAGTTGTCGTTACATCGTGTATAACATTGATGTTTGCGAAAGATGTCCTTTTTCCCTACAAGGAACTCTAGATATCCTACGGTAACCTCAACGAACTGTCCAATCAGGCTCCGAAATCCCTGTGAATTACGAGGCATTGTCTTTTGAGAACCGCAATACAGTTCCTGCGCTTTGCACTAAACTTGCAAAACTTTTCACGCGTGGGCAATTTATAGCCCTAAAGACGTTCTCTTCGTCATTTTGACGCTTGAGCTAATTTTCTTGACAACACAAACATCTTGGTGATTCATAGATGCCCTTGCCCAGTGCGAAATTTGATCGCATAGGTAGTCTGGGGTGTAGCAGTCAAAACCGGTTGTGATAAGAATGTGTTTTTTTTACACATTTCCTCCATCACTTTCAAATCCTCGACAAATTATGTTATAAAGTTAACAGTCTCCACTGACCATCTCTCGCTTTGATAATATCTATGATAGATTTTTGTTCACTGATGATACCTTTTTTGGATATTTTCTAGCCATATGTAGTTTAACATAAGCTCACTTTTTTGTTCAAGAAGTTCTATGAAACAGTGACGGTCCAAAGCTTTCCGTTCCGGGCGGAGTGGGAGGGGGGGGGGGACAAAAAATTAGGGGAGGGGGGGGGGGGACAAAAAATTATTCGCTTAGAGGTGTGTGGCGTTAATTATGTACTTCAAAACTTTTCTGCGATAACTCCCAAAACTTTTGTGATGACCTAACGAAAAAATTTTTCCACAAGGATAATTTGAATCTTTCAAACATAATTTTTATTATTTACAAGTACAAACAAGTCACTTGCACATCTTTTATAACTCCTGTAAATAGCTTTCAAAAATTTTGCGAATTCTCGAAAGGCGAGTGGGCCACTGCTATGTAATGATTTATGTACTAGATGCTTGTCAGGACCATTACGCTTACCGCAGTGGCATAAAAATATTCATTTTTATTTTTACACCTCCTGCTAGCGGGAACTTCTTCTTCCACTTCGTTCCTCCAAAACCCACTCAAAGTCTAGTAGATTTGATGAAGTGTACTCGTGGTGCGGCACTTGGAAGTTACAAAAAATTCATGGGGCGGTTTTTGGAAAATGTGGTCGCCAACATAAGGCACTATATTATAGTCAAATTGATGAGATATAATTTACCAGTTTTTTCCAACCTTGGTATTTGCAGCTTGATGCTTCTACTGAGAATAGTCCTTCTAATAGTCCTTCTCAAGCTATAAATTTTTTTAGCCATTTATCAGGTCTTATCTATTGCAGCTCTAGCAAAGGTTAGTGTAATGACTGTTTCAAGAAGAATATAGGGCCTAAACACTATAGGAACTAGTGCTTTCCTTAGCCTTTTGAATAAAATCATTAAATCTGTTTTATTGAATTTTTTATCCATAGTTGATTCCATTCCATCATTGAGTGAATCATTAAGCCAGCCAGAATAGCCAGCCATGCATGGATTGAAAGCTTCTTCCAACATCCGTGTGTCTGGCTCGATATGTCGCATGTTTTCTGGCTGGAAGAACTCGTCCTTCATCCTAAACCGGGTAGAGTCGCCATGGGATAGCGCATCAATAGTCGAGAAAAGTTGGCCGAGTGTAGATGAGCTTACTAGTGGAGGCAATCAGGGGGCGGACGAGTTTCTCTGCCTAAAAAGTGCCGAAATAGTGTTTTTGTTACAAATTCTGCATATCAATAGTCTCCGATCCTGTTCCGAAGACAAATAAATCTCGACTAGCCCGTCGATAAGCCCGTCGGTGTTGCGTATCCGAGATATGCGGCTATAGCACATCTTACGTCTTCGCTCTCGTCAAATCATTATGAAATAGCCATAATCGGATCCATACACACTCGCCTTGGACTTGTTCCATTTGCGCAAATCCGCTAGAAAATTGACGCGGTCAATTTATAAGCACCTTCCCGCAGTCACTATTCCATAACGGAATTATTCCAGCTTTTTATATCATAAGCTTGAGAGAAAGGACAAACTAGAGAAATAGTTATATAGGCGTGTACAGTCACGTCGGAATCAGTGAATACATTGAATGAAAAAAAAAGATGTATCAGCTATTCTCAGGGTTGAGCGTGGAGTCAGGCGCGCCCGACCTGGGGTCGTATCGAGGATAAGACTGAGGGGGGGGGGGGGGGGAGGTAGTAATTAAACATCGAATTTGTTCAACTGGGAGATACTACGAAGGTGAAGAAGAAATGCGTTAATCCGAGGGATATTGCAATCATCTGAAGAAATGACGGTCGTATACAGCAAACTGCTTGTTTCCACAATCGAAGTTTTAGCCAAAATTTAAGTCCTCATCCCTTACCTTGACATATCATAAGGACCCCAAGGAAGTTTACTGTGTAAACTGGGTATCATTTCCGTAAACTGCAATTCAAATTACCCCTACGAGCTCTAAAAACCATTGCCTACTACAGTTTCTAGTGTTTCTCAACGTCTAAAAAGCGTGATTTTCAAACATGATTAACTTAGTTTCAAAAATGAAAAAAGTCAGCTTTTCTATACTCATAAGAAAGTAATGTTCTCTACAAGTCGTCTTTGCTACAGATCAGGCTTCATATCGCTTTCAAACAGTGAAGTAAAAATTGCTGCCAAAATTCCAACCAGCGCGTTTTTCGCTTGAGTGCTTCAACTCCTCGGATTAGCACAAGGCATAAACGAGCCGAATCAAGCTCAAACACTTACTGTGGAATCTTCGAGGGTTGAGCTCTCGAATCACATAAAACTTGGGTAGGAAAGCTTCTTCGGAAATAAAGTTAACGGGGTCAGGCGCAACCCCTCAAAAGCTCAGGCCGCCTGAGCTTTTGAGGAGTTGCGCCTGACCCCATTAACTTGCCTTCAGTATCCAAAAATTGCCCATATTTTAGCATGAGTATTGAGAGCAAAGCTTCTTCTTGCTATATTGAAAATTTGGAGCCAAACACTCCACGCCTGTGAAAATTATAGCTTTGAAGAAAGGGCTATCCAGATCCGAAACCTGCCGTCAAGTTGCGTGTGGTTGTGCAATCGCAGAAAGTGGAGTCTACAGACTTTTAAAAATAGAAACCCTACTGAAGGCTATTCTTCTTCAAAAAATAACACTCTGAGGACCTGGAGTGGAGCGAAGGGGTCGTTTAGGGGCTTTCACAGGGGGGGGGGTCGTTTTTGAAGGATTTGTGCCTGACCTCTTGCTCAACCCTGGCTATTCTATAACTAGGAGACGCGAAACTGCATTGCGAACATTGTCTTAACGAGTTTGAGTTTGTTTTTCCCTGTTTCCAAAGAGTGATTAAACTTTGACGAGATAAATGATAAGTATAGAACCTGCTAAGTACACGATTAGGCTTGTTTAGACAATGTGTGCAATGCGGTCGCGCGTCTCCTGGTCATAGAATGAATTATAAGTTGAAGGGAGAACAAAAAAAATTTTCAAATGATACCAAAAAATTATAAGAATTTTTTGATCCAATGATTTCAAATAATTTGTCAGCGTATTTTGTGTGGACACACGGCAGACTACGTTAGCTCCTAACTTTATCGATCCAATCATTCAACTGTTCATTTTTTCCCAAATGCTAGTACAAAATAGGAGAAGATGGATATAGAAATGGAAGTATTCTTCATTGGATAATACCGCTATGTTTGTAGAGCGTGAGTCGGAAATGAAAATTGGAAGAAAATGAATTTTCTAATGTTCGTTCCATCCTTCACCCTGCAATTCGGTTGCAAAACAGTTCTCTGTGTACCATGTGATTCAACGAGATTGGTGGCTAGAAGGTGACCGCTCGCGCCCGCGACGCACTCTGCGTCTCTTTTGCGACGTCTCTCTGGTCATTCTTTCCCTCAATTAGGTCACGAAGCCTTGTCTTCGAGCCGCCAATCCACTTGAAACAAAAGCTGTGTCTGTTAGCTTGGGATTGCTTTGTTTCGATGTCGGCCAAAAGACTCGTTTATTTTTCTCCAAGGAATTTTATACATCAACTAGCTGGCTTACCCGGCTCCGCCGTATCCGGACCAAACTTGGCACACATACACTTCGGGCCCCGGCGCGTGTCACAGTCCACTTTTCGTTATCGATCGATGTCGATTTTACCGATTTTTATCGATTTTTTCGCAGAGTTCACCTACAGGGCTAGGAGTTGGCACAGGGGGGAAGTGAGCATGGGGATTACGAATACAATATTAGTTTTCAGAATTATCGGTTACTTTTATTGATTTTATCGATTTTTTGTAAATTTTGACATGCGAGGCTGGGATTTTGCACAGGGGGTAATCGAGCATGCTGATTACGAACACAATATTAGTTTTCAGGATCGTCCATTACTTTTATCGATTTTATCGATTTTTTTGTAAAGTTTGACCTGCGGGGCTGGGAGTTTGCACAGGGGGGTAATCGAGCATGCAGATTACGAATACAATATTAGTTTTTGGAATTATCCATTACTTCTATCGATTTTATCGATTTTGCAAAATTTGAGCTAGGGGGATGGAATTTGGCACAGGGGTGTAATCGAGCATGCTGATCACCCCCTTGGGGATGATCAGCATGCTCGATTACCCCCCTGTGCCAACTCCCAGCCCCCTAGCTCAAACTTTGCAAAAAAATCGATAAAAATCGATAAAATCGATATCGATCGATGACGAAAAGTAGCCTATGACACCCGCCGGGGCCCGTAGCGTATGTGTGCCAAGTTTGGTCCGGATCGGTTCAGAAATGGAATTTTCTATTCGGAACATACGTACACACATACAGACAGACAGACAGACAGACAGACAGACAGACAGACATACAGACATACATACAAACAGACATTCAGCTTTATATATAAGATAACGTTTTGAGTTATTAACAGCCTAGAACGTATCGTGTTTTTTGTATTTATCCATATAAAAATCTCGATCCTCTCAAGGAGAGATTCCTGACAACCAGCTGAAAGTAAAATAATGCTTTTCAGATTGTGTCAGATTACTGTCAGATTACAGATTGAAAAACTTACTAATGCTTTTCAGTTCTTCTCGACGTATACAAAGTAATCCGTTGATAAAGCCATGAAATTAATTTTCTTATAGAACCAATATAATATTGCATACTAGAGTTTTGTATACAGTACGGTCCCGATAGTTTTAAGGACAGTATCAACTGTGAAGAGAAGAGCGTGCTACCGTAATCCACTTTATCTCAGAGACTACGGTAGCGAATATATTACATTTCATAAATAAGCAAATAAGTAAACAAATTTTTGGCGAGGTGACAAAAGCCATGGGCGAAATGCTAATTTCTAACAGTAACTGATCAAAAGCACCTACTTTAGGGCATTGATTACCGTATCCTGCTTCTCTACAGCCGTCTTCTCACAAAAACTTGGTCCGCCGGGGCCGCTATCATCACATTTTGTCGACTGGCTGATTGCACATGGGTAAGATGGTAATAGTGATGATTACCAAAAAGACTCTTAACAAAACTGCGCGCCAAAAATAAATGTTGTTTTTTATAGTTATGAAGGTGACAACTTCGATCGTCCAGATGTAGGACCAAATGGAAGTTTTGGTGGAAAGAAAAGGGCAACAGAACGGGTACGAGGTTTTTCCGAATTTTACCTCCTGAATCTGTACAAAAACTGAAAAAATAATTTTTTACTCTTGTTTGGAGAGAAAAGAGGAGAAGCTCCATAGTACAAGAAATCTTCTGTTTTCTTATAGATAAGAAACGAGCCAGTGATATTTATTCATGGAAATGGAGATGCAGCTCTTCATACGCAGGCACCATTAGCAACCGGATGGAGCAGGTAATTTCATTTAGAGATTGGAGAAAGGATATTTTTGACAAACCAGCTCAGTCTGATGACCAATGTGGTGAATTTGCGGTACCTACAACATTTGCGCGTAGAAATTGTCACAGAGCGCACATATCAATTGCGTTCCGTGCCTATTTTTCACGCGCAACCTTCAACTGGAATGAGGGCTAAAAGGCGGAGCTTCGTGACCTAATTAAGGCCTCTCGTGCCCGCGACGCTGTCTGCGTCTCTCTCGCGCGTGTGCTCTCTGACCATCCCTTAGCTTTAATTAGGTCACGAAGCCCCGCCTTCCAGCCGTCAAGCTAGTTGAATCAAAAGGTATTGTGTTCTTGACACTACGAGACACCCTGAAAAAAAAGAAAAATTATCGGACTGTACGATAATTACATATTGTCGTAGAGTGATTCTTTTGGGAGCCATATTTGAACTTTCAAGCAAAATCATGTCTGATAAAAAAGCAAAAAATTATTTACAGTTCCTATGATGAAGATCAAATCAGTACATGATATTTTCAGATCGATTCAGTATTTTATGGAGCAAAATTATACAGAAGGAGAGCTATACGCCACTACGTGGGGTGATGCTTGGGGTTCAGGATCAATCTTGGACAGTTACAGTACAATGCATACATGCAGTAATTTGCTGTTTTTGAGAAGGTTTGAATGGAATTTTCGACACAAAAAATAAAAATAAATGTTTCAAAAAATGTTTTATGGGGGCTTGAAGGAAAGAAGACTCATGTTTACAGATTCATCGAAGCTGTGATATCCTACACCGGTGCAAGAAAGGTTGATGTCATCGCTCATTCCGTTGGCGTCGTTCTCGCTAGGTGGGCTCCCAAAGATTTTAGCTTATCCACCAGTGAAGATCCAGAATTTTTCATTGGGGAGAAGGGAAGGGGAGACAGAAAATTTTTGTAGCACGAAAAGACATGGCGACAGCCACGGACTCCGAAATTGGAAAAATTTGTAATGAACTTTCAGCCCCAAAGTTTTTCAAAAAATAGACATGGAAGCTATTACGAACTGAAAGGATCTTTTCATAGAACTAATTAGAATCTTCTAAAATCAATCACCTTTCTAAAAATGAGCGCAAATCCTGCATGAATGATAACGATATTTCATACTCTATTTAGGAAAGCGCTCAAAGGTGGATCACTTATTGGAACCGATGGGAACTGCACGCTTGGACCTCCATTAACCAATAAAATCGACACATTTGTTGGAATCGCCGGGCCAAATTACGGTATGGATATAAAAAAAATGTTTGAAATTGTTGGGGATAGTGTTGCTAATTTGAGGGTCAGTTTTGCACAATGCTAGAGATGATTCGTATCATAGATGATGCAAGCGCGCTACAAATTCTGGGTGCCAATTTGAGACGCGGCTGCGTGCGCGGCGCAGCTGGTCGGCATAAATGCTGCAATGTAACGAAATAACGAACAATGGAAAAGGGAGGCTACAACTGTAGAAAATCGAATTCTGAACAACTTGTGCTCGTTTTTGCGCATTCACAGAGCATAGTTCGTAGTATGTGATGGACATGCCACGCAAGCCCGCCGCAGCCGCGTCGCGACTATGTGCGAGCGGGTGCGCCCATTGCTCAGGTGTGACGCCAACAAGCAATTGCAGAACTATGAATTCCAAGTGGAAAACTGATTTTAGGACTATGCGTTTGTCAACTGGCGCAAACAGTTCCAGCTTGGTGTAATGCCCTCGATGGACTTTACCCAGGATACACATGCCAAGACCAGGTAAGAAAAAATCACCTTTGTATCGCTGGCGAGATTACGAAGTTTTAAGCTCCTATGCGGCTATACTTCTGGTAATTGCAAACAAGAAAACTACTCGGCACTACTTGAACGACTCAACAATGATCCGGCTCGCGAAGCTGATCACGTCTACGCGATGTGGAGCGACGGTAAGTTCCCATCCCTTCTCTACTCTTTTTCTCAGTACTACCTTTCCAGTTGACGAAGTCTTGCTGTTTCGCGGAATGACATGGGGAAAGCCAACATCGCGCATTCCGGGTATGAACGGACGATGGGTGTCCGATCGTAATGGTCATGTTGCTATGAAAGACTTGACCGAATTACGGCAATTCGAAGCTGTTGTGCATCATTCTATCTGAGGTCTCATCTTCTTGTTTTTAATCAATTTCTCAATTTGATATCTGATTTGTGATCTATTTATATAGTTATTATTTTTGTTGGTGATAGAGAAGAGTCACTTACGAAGGTTAAGGCCGTGCAAACGTGCATGCCTACGTCGGTGACTTGACTATAGTCGGAACAATTCGTATCCCACTTGTGTGATTGCACACAATATACACACTGCGCGTGAAGCTTTTCTTGGCTGTTTTGCACACATCTTTCAATTTACTGAACGATCCCTTGATTCCAAAAGTGAAGACTGGGAAAAAATTCCTAGAAGATACCGTTATCAACAAACTCTATAGTTTACGCGTATGATGCATATTTTATACAATCACACACAGTCTGTGTCAGTTACGCACTCCCTCCCTGTGATTACGCATTTGCAACGCGAGCGCCATGCATGCACCTCCAATGGAAAGGCCACTTTGAATTCCCAAGTCCAACGCGCACAAACAGCGAATGGCGCGAAGCTCTGCGTAGCAAGTGCGCGACGGAAGAGGGAGTCCGCGAGTGACACAAGCTGTAGTTTGCAAAAGTATGACAGTCTCGTCTATTCGTTGGCTGTTTGCATAGCTACTCGGGATTTTCATAAAATTTTCCGATCACTCAAAGCAGAAGTAATCAGGTAAAAAAAGTTACTTGCTTAAATGCACAAATCCTGTGGATTTGGAACCTTTTTGGTCACGAGCAATAGGGTAGTCAACGCTCACGCGTAAATAATAAATGAGACTGTCATCTCAAACTACACATTACTGAGATTGTTTCGCGTATCTTTGTGAAAATAGGGAGTCGTTTTGTTGTCAGTTTTCATTGGTGGTATCTACTGTTGTCTGGTGTTTTATTTGCTTGCATACTTGAATGCCGGTATATAAATTTTTTAAGCGCTTATTGGTGATTGTCCCCAAGGCATTGGTAGCTTTACATCATAAGAGCATCAAATGCGTCAAAAGGAAAAACAAATCGAATAAATCGAATACCACCCATCGGACTCTGAAGGTTTATTTATATGAACAAAGACTTCACAAAAAACATAGAACATAGATAATGTTGACTCATCAAACAAGCTAACAAAAACAATTCAGTATTGCTTACAAATGAAATTAATCAGATTGGGATACGATACTAAGACCGACGTCAAGGAGATCAGACAATAAAAAAATACAATAATTGAAATAAAATCATCAAAATCAACTGGGATCAAATGTTAGTATACTGGAAAAGAAATGTACTGGTAAGGAAAAAAGATCGTGTGATGACACGTATCGTGATATCGAGCTCATTTACTGGATTTTGGTCGCCCAAGTTTCTTCCCTGACGGTGTTCTTGATGGAGTTGCGCTACCGGCTTCTATAACAAAAGTAAAGGTTACCTTCAGCATGGAGTACCAAACACCTAGATATACCTGATGGTGCATTGGCTTTATCTTTTGCGTCTTTTTTCGTTCGGTGTTTCACCTCTGTCTCGCCCATTTCCTTTTCTATCAATGTTATCAAAGTATTGCAACGTCGTTGTAATTCCTGTAAGGCAGCAAATAAGCAAAAGCGTGTGAATATGGGAACATCTGACTTACCATAGCTGTCCTACTCTTGATGAACCAATCAAATCGGAATTGTGGAGCCATTCTGACAGACTGTCGGAGCTCCTCATATACAGTTTCCTTGTCAAATCCGAGCCGGTGTAGTTCACATACAAGGAATCTGGAATAGATGACCTCTGATGAAGTGTTTTAGAATCCACTGGATTGACTGTCCCAAATGAATGGTCTTTTCATTTTCGGCCACTCTCTCATCATAAAATTGAACTCGGTAGCCACCACAAAAGCCAAACTAAAGTACAACCAGCAAATAGTCACAACAGCAATTAATACCAAAGATGGAACCACTGCATGTACCTTACTGATTATGACACTGTAACCCACCTATCTTCCTCCTCCGTATATGTCTTTCCTTTGTTTGTTCCATAAGCAATGCGCAATTGATGGAAAGGAGCTTTATACTTAGCAATCTTTGCATCTAGAGCGCGTTTCACTGACTGTCGTCGTTGAATTCTAGCTTCACCCTGAAAAGGCAATAACTGAGGTAAAAACAGAACTAACGAAACCTCAAGAAAGACTCACTTTTTCGATTTGGCCCAAAATCTTCTCATGGTCTTGTAACTCTTCAAATCGCTCCCAAAATATCTTCGCGTAATATTCCACCTGTAACATAGTGTGTTTTTTTGAACACTAGATTCATCCATTTAGAATATAAAATTCTGCGCTATCACCAACGATCAACAAAATTTTTCAAAGCATACCTCATCTCGAGATTTAGTCTCCATCATCTCATTTGCAATATTCTCGATGTCATGTCGACCATATTTCTCATTTGCCTGAAATTATAGAAACATAGAAATAATGTAACAAAACTCCAAGTGGCAAAAAAAGGAAAAAATTTAAGAAACGGACTTACCCGGACGAATGCCGTGAAGTCTCTCTTGCTCCAGTTTGCCAGACCTTGTGTGAGTAGGTCATTTTTCTCTTGCTGCTCTTCCTCAGTCAAAGGTTGTGCCTTAAGAAAAAAGTTCCAAAAAAAGGCTAGCAAGAAATGATTAGCTGAAAATTTTATACCGTATCAATCAGGCGCTGTTCTTCTTTTTGACGCTTCTCGGCTTCCTTAGGGCCACACTCTTTCGGTTTTTCAGCCTTAAAAACTTGTAATTATAGTAATAGAAGATCTATCAGCAATGAGGAAAAAACAACGTAAAGAAACTTCCAAAATTTGATTCAGCAGCAATGATGCATTTCATTTTGTCCCCTCATTTTTTTATGCTCGGAGTTTTTCTTAATATTCTATCTTCAACTCATCGGAATGGAATCAAATAATGATTTAACGGCTCGATGAAGGGAACCTACGTCAATAAAGCGATAAACTCCTTATCCCAATGAATTTATACAGATGTTGCCCCTAGCGACGGGCTCATCCTCTAGTATCGCTAGTGTTGGACTTCGTCTGCCACCGCGCGCAACACCATTTCGTCTCCCGCAGAACTGCATATGGAAAGCGAATCGTCGATTTGCACTGATCATCAGCTGCTCGACAATAAACGCACTGTATTTGTTTGTGGATTTGTGTCAAAGCGTTTTCACAACAAGTAGGACCTCAAACCCTTTTTGAACAAAATTTTCAAGCTACAGTACTCTTTCAGTTCTCTCCAAGCAGTTCTACAAGATCTCCTCTGTGACTACTATGTAGCATGCAATGGTGATTCCTGGGACGAACATTCCTCAACTCGCACTCTTCTTTCCAATGCTGAAGCTCTCATATTTTTTGTCAATGAGTACACGCTTGGTGACAAAAATTGTCTCCTCATCTTGCAATATGCATGGCATCTGATGGTTCCTATCATTATGCTTCGTCCTCCTAAGACAAAGCTCGTCATCTGCAAACGAGAGCAGACGCACGACGACATTACGTGAGTAGTACATTAAGAATTGAAAAAGAGTGACGGGGGTGAGGGTTAGAGACGTAAAGTGCAGGAACACTCTTGGTGCTCGTTGGATGTATGATACCTCAAGGTCCTTGATTATTCTCAAGTGTCAAAATACTGTTTTCTACACTTGTGAACAATAATTGGGGACAAACCGCCCTTTCACCCCATTCAAGACTGAACAGAGCAAACTTCATCTAATGAAGTTTGTTATATACTATTTATTTTAGCAACGTAGGAACACTATCTTGACAAATAAGATATTGTTCCTGCATTGCTAAAAATACTTGTGCGTAAAAAATGGTCATAGGACGCACAATTGAAAATATACACTTTTGGCCATTTTTTACGCGCAAGTATTGTCGAATCTGCAGAGACATTGTATCAAGCGTCAAATGTAGTAGAGTGCATACCACTAGTCTCTGACGCCCTGAGTTGATCCACATTATCTACATCGCTACTGGTCAAATAACAGATTTGACCAATAGCAAGTCTTGCCACTTCATCCACTTTGCTATTGGTCAGCTCAGTGAATTAACCAATAGCGAAGAGGATGAGGGTATTCAAAATCCATTTCTCTGCCACATCCAGGGGTCGATTTTGAATAATAAAAACTTCTCATACTTTTCAAGCCAAGAACAACAGCACAAAAATTAACGCCGATATTTAGCGTCGTCGCCAATGGATCCATTGTACGGAGCCCAAGTACCAGATTTACGCTCCTTGATGACACAAATGTGAATTCAGTCGACTATGGTCTGCTTCAAGATGTCCTCCACGAGGTACATTGAGATCCCCTCACCAGATTTGATGTGACTTATTTTCTCCTTTTACAGGGTTTCAAACTCTCAATTCTTTACGATCGGCTCGACCACAAGGGCTCAATGAGTAAAATCAATGAGCGGCTAAAGGAAATCATGCGCCCATCGCTCCTTCGTGAAGCAGACCAACGGCCATTTTTTCTCTCGCCATCAAATGGCCCAAATCTGACAGAACGCTATGACAGCTCAGGCGAAATTACAACAGAACGAGGTAGGCTACGTGTGCGTAGGTTCTCCAAGCAAGTATTATCGCCGACTTTGAATTATTCCCCTTGATCGGATGTTATTTTGAGCTGTAATGCTTGCTCACGTGATTATCCTAGCGCGGTTTGATAATCAGTATTTCATGCGTCATGTGATACGCTTTATCTTTTACGACGGACTCGTATTTTCAACGAGGGAGAGCAAAATGAAATCTTTGAAAAGTCGTATTTTTCAGGTGTAACTGCTACCGAACCCCAAGAACCTGAACAAAATCTCCGTCTCACACAAAGTATGAGCAATTTGAAGGGTGATCATCGTGGTCCACCCAGGACCCCGTATCCGCGCGGAATGAACGGCATGTCAAAGCGTAAATCAATAAAGGTAAGTTCAGCATTAGTTAACCCCTCAGATTCAAAGAAAATCTTCAGATTCCACCAATTCACACAAATAACGAAAGTCAGGAGGAAGAAATCGCGGTAGTACCCAATTCTGCATCGACAACGACAGGTCGACCGCCTTCCACTTTCAGCAGAACTTCTTCACGTGAAAGAAGGTTGAGGTACAACTTGTCAAACTTCGCTGCTTAGCAAATGGATGCTATTACAGCATGGGAAGTCTTGACGATGTGAACAGCTTCCAAGAAACTCAATATCTCGTCTTCCCCATAAAAAATACGAACAAAAAACCGACACTGATTAAATTCCCGGATGATCTTATGGAAGACAACGATGGAGAACATGACAGTATCTGGGGGTCTGACACTAGTCTTGAAGAGGAGACAGAGGTAAGTAATTCCCACAGCTACAGTATTTCCACAAAAACTTTGCTTACAGATAGCAAAGAAGATAAACACAGGGATAAGCCTGGATTACGATGAGCCCGATTCACCGCTTGGAAGTCCCGCTCCTTATATTGGAGATTTAGATACGTAAAACTCACCTCAATAATAAATTAGTTATTATCTCACACAAACGAACAGACCTTGTATCCGATAGTTTTCCTGTAGTGATACGTCTCACGATCCAACAGTTCCATAAGACGTGGTGGATAAAATTGGAAGTCAAAGACTGCAGGCTGCTTGGGTCGTGGTGCACGAGACTGCTTTTCCACGGGCTGACCTTGTCGCATGGCTTCGCGGAAGTATGCATCTACCTAAAAGGTGTAGGTTCATATTCGGGCTTGAAAGAAATACTCTGAAGTTCAATGAAAGATTATACATCACAGATGAAAATTTTGAAACGAAAGAATGCGGTGAACTTCTCACAGGCTCAAAAACACCAAGTAAGTGATGCTTGCATCAACAGGATTACAAAAGATGTTACGCTTGTGCTGAAAAGTAAAACAACAAGAGAGGAGAAAGCAAAAATCTAGTAAAGATAAACAGGAGAAGTTGAGAAAAAAACAGCAAAGTTAGAAAACTTTATCTTGCACTGTATGTTTTGAAGCGAACAGCAGAAAAGGATATAGAAACAAGCGTTAACCTGGTAGTTTGCTTTCCTTTCTCTCTTCGGAGGTTCGATCCAGAAATGACCCGTATCTCCAACTTGTTTGCCCTTCCAATTCTCTCCTTCAAAGTTATAAACCTGAACAAGCGAAGTCAAGTCTGTGCAGTCAAGCAGATACAACACTAGGTTGAATTGCAAAGTGAAACTAACCGATTTGCTCTCGAAAGTAAGGTTACGCAGGTTGCTCTCCCCAAGTTCTTCCAATTTTGCATTGAGTTCTGCTGTTTTGAGCTCAGCTTGTTGGAGAATTGTATCGATGTCTTCGTCAGTGATGGTGGAGTCTTTGGATGAGAATACCTTAAAATTATGTGACACACATAGAAAAAAGAAATCTTGGATATCATGAGAGGAAACAGTGACACCTACCAACTCAGCACCATGCCGGATCATGTTGATCATATCATCTTTCCCCAAGGTCTTCTGAGCTTCGGTAACTCTGCCTTGCTGGATAACGATAGAATCCAGACGCAGTTTTACTTCTGCTCGTTCGATGATTCGTTCTTCCACAGTATTTTCGGTAATCAAGCGGAAGACGCGAACCTAGATTTCTTGCACTTTTAATGTGTTTTCATAAAAGAATCAACGTTAGTTCACCTGCTTCTTTTGACCAATTCTATGAGCACGATCCATAGCTTGCAAATCACTTTGTGGATTCCAATCGGAATCAAATATTATAACAACATCTGCCGTGGCAAGGTTGATACCAAGACCTGTGAAATAGTATTGTATATCCATCGAAGATGATCTTTACAGAAATGATAGAACATACCTCCAGCCCTTGTCGTGAGCATGAAGATGAATTTCTCGGAGTCTGGAGCATTGAATGCATCTATAGACTCCTGCCTGTCAACGTGGGCAGTCATACCGTCCAGTCGACAGTACTGATACTGCCGCCACCAGCAGTAATCCTCCAAGAGATCAAGAATTCTAGAGAACTGCGAGAAGATAAGGACACGGGAGCCTGAAACGACATATCATCATGCAATTTTATCATCAGGCATGATGAACATTACCTTGCTCTTTCAACTTTTTCAGCAGCTTATCCAGTACGACCATTTTACCGCTGTTGTCTACGATATGTTGATCAGTAGTGTATGGTGGTCCAGGTTCAGCACCATCAAAGAGATATGGATGATTTGCAGCCTTGCGAAGGTGCATGAGGATGTTCATGAGCCTATAGTGAAAAGGGTAATCAGACTGAATGATTTAGACTATGGAAAAAATGCAATATTTAAAAAAAAATGCTGAAAAACTTACGACTATATGAAAATAGATTTCGGATTCATGAAAGCTCATTTTTCTTAAAAAATCTTACCTTGCTTTCTCCACTTTTCCAGCGCCATTGATGACATCGATATCCTTCATCAATACCTTTGTGTACCATTCTCGCTGCATTTTCGACAGACCAACATAGATCTGAAGGACAAGAATTATGCGAAGAAGCGAATGGAAGAGATAGGAAACTTCAAAAAACATCTATAACAAAAACGCATAAAAAATTACATCAAGATGCGGTTCGAATACGGAAAAATGAAATAGCAGTACTTACCTTCACTTCTTTCTTTGGCAACAACGACTTCTCCACATCAGATTTAATACGACGAAGAAGGAAGGGTTGGAGTACCTAGAGAATGTTCATTTTGATTTGAACCTTACACTTCTTTGAATCTCAACTTGCCTTGTGAAGCCTGGATATGATGTCGATATTGCCCAACATACTACCATCAGTGAACCACGAATCAAAATCTACAGAAGACGAGAACATGTCGGGGAGCAAGAAGTTCAGCAAAGCCCAAAGCTCGTGAAGGTTGTTTTGGAGCGGTGTACCAGTGATGAGAAGGCGATTTTTCGATTTAATCTCGCGCACTACCTCAGACAGCTGAAAAAGTGGCCATACAGAAGAAATTACACAAAGAAAATGACTGCGAACGCACCTTTGACTTCTCATTTTTGATTCTATGAGCTTCATCAATGATTATGTACTTCCATACAAGTTTCTTGAGTTGTGTCTTGACTTTCAACACCATCTCGTAAGTAGTACAGCAAACATCAAACTTTTGTGGAAGAATGACGTCACGAATGACTTGATTCTGGAAAAATCATTTAGTGACATTCAATCAAGCTTAAAAATATTATCCTACCCTTTCATGTTCATCACCAATGATGCAACATGTGACCATACTTGGGCACCACTTTTCAAACTCGTTCATCCAGTTCTTCAATGTTGACTTGGGAACGATGACCAAATGAGGGCTCCCCATGTTCTTGTAATGTTTCATATACCCAAGAAGGGCAATCGTTTGCAAAGTTTTGCCAAGACCCTGCAAAAATTACTCGTAATCGAAAATAATGATTTTAACAAAACTGCCAACCATTTCATCAGCAAGGATTCCATTGATTCCATTATGATATAGAGAGATGAGCCAATTCAAACCACGAATTTGGTAATCCCTGCAAGGTTAAATGACGATATGCATATGTCCAAAACGACAAAATTCAACAAAAAAAGGCAAGATCTAACGTTAGCCCACCTGAGTTCTCCATTTTTTATATAGAACGGACTCTTGTCAAAGATAGTAATACTATCTTCTCTACTAGCTGCTTCCACCATTTCTTCATCTTCTTCCTGGAAGAGATATCCGTAAAAATTCCAAACAATTTCAAGCGCAACAACGATGTACCTGCTCCGTCTTTCTATGCCTATGATCACCATCGACATCGGAAGCGGTTCGGCCACGTTTTTTCTTGATCGGTGAACCTGAAAATGAAACACAGATGAGAATTTGAATGTGATCTGGATCTATGATAATAGCACCAATCTGAGTTCCTAAAAACAGATTTCCATGAAAAAATACATGATTTTTTTCGGAAATTTCGCAGATTCTAACTACATCATCACCATCAAATTCGTACTGATTATAAAGCTTCAAGCATTTCGAAAGCAAGAAATTGCTATGAAACCTGGAACGACATTTGTCCCAAACCTGTTCTAAATGTGTAAGAGTGTGAATATGCTGCATGTGAGTGCTTTAGTAGTGTCAAAAGCTACACAGTCTGATCAAAGTTTCAACTTCTTCCATTTTTCAAAAAATAGCGTACGGCCCTGGCCAGACTTCGCTCAAAAGCGCCCAAAAGTGCCCGAACTTCTCTAACCTCTCCTCACACGAGAAAGTGACGAGACACCAGAAAAATTTGGGCGCTTTGAGCGAAGTCTGGCCAGAGCCCATACTCCCAAATGCAAACTTCTGCTTTGGATAGATCAGCAATACAAAAGAACAGGCTACCGTAAACCATATTCTCTAAGGCCATAGAAACTGAAAGTGTTTACCTTTGTAGGCTGCCACATCTCCAGCACTCAAGCAATGTGAAAAGTTTTCGGTCTTCTTCAGCAGCAGTTCGAACCTCTTGAACGAATCTGCTTCGAATTTCGACTCAAGACTATCCTCTGAAAAGCATTTGAATTGCTCGCTTTCCATAAACTGCATCTGCTTCTGATAAATCGGTTTAGAGCTATCGTTTCGGTTACTTTCGCCCGAATTGCCTGTCTCGCCTGTTCCCATTGAATGTCACGATTACCTCTCGCAATCGATTCGCGCAGACAGACACAAAAGCGATGGCAAAAGAGTTCCGCAGTTACTGAGTGAATTACTCAACAGCCCCAAACCTCGAAAGAGTCCATTCAAACACTTACAAACGTGTATTTTCAAACGAAATCACCTGTAACATTACGGTAGAACTACTGTATCATACGAAAACTCACCTCCTTCATCAGCTTCCATTTCGTCTTCAGCGTGCTCCTCATTCTCCATTTTTACATCCTCTACTGGTTCTGGCTTTGCCTACAAATCGGTGATTTTTGAAAACGAAAGACGAAAGAGAAGGATGACTAACCTCAGTCACGTCCATCTGCTCCTCCTCACCTTTGTTCTCTGCTTCTGCTGACATTTCCTGGAATTTCAAAGAATTTCTCAGACAGACATCAAAATTAGCACTGAAAACAGAAATAAGGCAAGCAAGAGCACAAGAAAACAGATTGAGGTCGACGCCACGCCAGCTGCGAAAATCGCATCCGCGGCATTTTCCCGCGCCGGAGCAATTTGAAAAGCGGTAATTCGAAAAGTGTGCAATCGCAGACAGATGCAAAAGAACCTGAATTTGACGCCTAATTCTTAACTGCCAGCCAAGTGTCGCATTCCGGTTTGTGACATCTGTTTAACACAGCGAAAATGTAACTTGAATCTTGTTTTTGTTCTACTCGCTGAATTTGGAAGTGTTTCGATTCGTCCATATAGTCTGGAACAGTTCGATAAATTTTTGTTTCTTTCTAGATGGAAATCGATGACGGGGCAAGTTCGTCTTCGGATGGCGATGAGCTGGAAGAATTGAAGGAAGCACGACATTCCGCGTGAGTTCTCGATTAGTTCCATTTGTCTCTATGTTGTGCCTTGTTCTGCTGAAGTCAGAGTTAGCTAAGTTTTTCAGAGTTTTAGATTTGGATTTCGATAGTGAAGAAGCTGCTCAAACTATATGCCGCGTTGTTGGCGTTGATAAGGAACCGAGTAGAAGTAATGCGGTCCGAAGCTACAGTGTGAATGGATCTCATTTGCGGATGTAAGTAGTTTTTACGCATTTTAAATCGTTTTTATGTTTTATGCACAAACATGTTCTCTAATGTGAGCTGTTGATTGCTCTCTCATCCTAAGTTATTCTTGTCTTATTTTATCAGGCTCATCCATACTGTGTTATTTTCAGTCTGATCAATGCCAAAAAAATAATCACCTTGGTCTACTGACTTCTTTTGCGTATGTGCCTTGTCACCAGGAAGCATAAGCAACTCTCTCATCAGCACAACAAAAGTCCTCCGCTAACCTGAATTTCTCATTAATCGACTCCTTACCGTATCGAGCTTACTACTATGTTGGAAACTCCATCAACAAGTACTTTTCTGCAAATCAAGTCTTGTCATTTTCATACATCTGTACCTCATATTTGAGTGAAGTTGAAGTTTTTATTTTACTGGAAATTGCTTTCTACTCTTTGCAGCATTGCAGCTGCTCTTTTCCTATTTCATTGGTTGCTGCCGTTTACGGCGAAGTTTTATTGCTACATAAAGCTCTCAAAACATTTTTTTAGTAAATTGTTGATGTTACCGGAAAATCTCTCCAGCTTTTGCGCTGTTTCTAATTGAATTTGACGTTGGCACAAATTTTTCACAATTCTATTTTTGGTTATTTTATTCGATGACATCGACTTCTAATAGTTTGCATTTTTGGGTTAGAAAGCCAATTTACATTAATCTTATTTAGTGTTTTAGCTCGTGTTAGAAATTTTCAAAAAAATATGCACCGGCTTAATCTAGTCCACCTTCATCCGATCAATCGCATTACTACGACTAAAATCATGAGCAAGTATAGTGTTTCGGTCTTTGTTTAGTTACTTGTAATTCTTTGTGAAAGTTTTCTTCTCAGTATTGCATCTTCTTTTGGAAATCTACTCTTCGTTTTAGAGAAATCAAGAGCTTGGACAGGAAGTCGCTTCAAAAATCCATAGCGAACACGCTTGAGATGTGCGATCTAGCGAAAGCGACGTTAGATCTAGTGGCTAATAAGAAGTGGCTGGATTTGAGAGGACCCGTTGAGAAGAAATTGAAGTTGAACTCGAACAACTCAAAATGATTGTTTCAATCTTCATTTTATGTTTCAGTTTTGTCATTTTTGTTCTGTGTACATTGTTATTGTTTTTGTTATAAAGTTTATTCAGGTTCACATCTGTTTTTTATCACAATTCGGTTTTTTCCTGGATATTATCGGACATCATTATTTGAGTGAATTTTTCGCAAATATTTCGTGTTTTTAGATGTTCAAAGGGTTGAAGTCCAAGCTCGAAGATGAAGCTAAGAAACTTCAAGCATCTGTACAGCAATACAGCGAGCAGTTCAGCCAACAAGTGGAGTCAATCAGACACGGAACGGTAATTTTTAGCGGTGATTTGCTTGAGATTTCACTATTCCACGATTATTTCTGCTCAGAGCGATGCCGGAAGCGAAAGTGGATCAAGCATAACGAGACGATTTCTGAACACTGTTGGCGGATCTTCGTCACCTGGGCCTCATAATGCGCAGGATTCTCTTAATCTTTCGGTATGCTTCTATACTCTGTATTCTCTGTCGATGAGCTATGTTTCAGTTCCAACCCTTTTTTCTTTGATATCATCACTATTACTATTACTTTCTCACAGGTGGGGGATACTCTCATGGAAGAAGTGACTGAAGGTGATCTCCTTGGACTAGACTTATCGTCAAGACAACGACGACTTTCTGGTGGATCCAATCACAGCACAGAGAGGTCACTCTTTCCCATTTTTTTAATTCAGTCGTAAAGCTGTTTCATGCTACTTTCTTCCTATTAGTTTCTCGATTATAATAATTTATGCTATTGGCTCCTCAAAATAAATGGGCACAGCTGCATACGGCGTTTGCCGTGTTGTTGGATGCTGTCAATTTTGTTCTTTCTGTGCTCGGTGCATTCAAACCACGTTCTCCACGTAATCAACAAATGCGACGCCAAATTAGGGAGCGGTGCACGTTAGATGGTGTTAACATTCTTTCCCGCTTTATTATCATTAACGGGCTAGCAGATTACGGACTTTTTGCCAGCATTGGCGGTTGTAGAGTTTTTTTTTGGAGAAAATCCAGGAACGCTTTTGCGCGCTACTATCGCACCTATTCAGCCAGTCTTACGAATGGGGATGCAAAGACCACTGCGATGTTACATTTAGCTTTTTATTGGAACATTTTATAGAATAGGGTACCGTTTTCTACCACATCATATAGTTTCAAATCGATTGCAATTAGCATTCTACTTGAGGACATCTATCGTTATAAAAAAAAGATCTGCGATCTTCTTCAGAGAATTATTCTCTTGACGGCGATAGTTTTTCATCCGATTCGCATTTGGACCAGTTTTGTATTTCTTTGACGGTAAAGTGGCATGCGGCGGCCTTCTTGTAGAATTGCAGCTGTACAATCATGACTCATTTGTTTTTGCATGGTTCGTTGTTTAGAGCAAGGTAGGGATATTTGAGAAGGCTGCGAAAATATTCAGCGTAAAAAAACTTTAAAAAAATAGCAAAATACATATCTTCTATAATTATTTTGATCTGTTTCAGTTCGCTGTCGACGCTGTTCCAGTCTGTACCTGGTTTGGCAGGCACAACACTGGACACCGCCGATTCTGACACTGAAACTCTGGACGAGTATAGCTCTGGTGTTATCAAGTCGGCTAGCAAGGATCAGGTCAGTTTTTCTTTTTTTTTCTCCAAAATGACTCCTGAGGGAACGGCCATAGGCTGTCGGTTGTTGTCGGTGTTGTCGGTGTTGTTGGTGTTGTCGGTGTTGTTGGTGTTGTCGGGGTTGCCGAGGTTGCCGGTCGTTGTAGGGCCTCATGATAGCGTCCACGTTTCGCGCGCTCTGTGAACTGTACCTGACCCCGACAACCCCGACAACAACCGACAACAACCAACAACACCGACAACAGTTGCCGGCAAACTGTGGCCGTTCCCTGAGCATTCAGCTTTTTCTTTAGATTTCCAATGTTTTGTCGCGATTGCAAGGTCGTGCCACATCATATAAAGATAAATATAGAGATCTTGTGAAGAAGTATAATGAAGTTGTGACGGAGAACAACAAATGCAGGGTCAGTGCTTTAGTTTCTTTTTTGTCGTTTCATTGATTTTTCATTTGCAGACGGTTTTGGCAAAAACTCAGGACAAAGCTTTGGAGAGAATTGAAAAGTTGCGAAATGAGAAGAAAGCGTTGGGCGAAAGATTGCGCGAAACTGAAGAGAGCAGAGGCGCATCTTCACCTGTAAGTTCAATTAGTGTCCTAATCCATGTGATTTATCGATTTTTGTTTGGCTCCCAGAGATGTAAAAAGTACGCACTATGAAATTCATAATGATAAAAGAGCGGCCAGTCATCACAGGGTCTATCGACAACGATGTGTTTGATTGCCCACTGTGTTTCACCGCTGTTCGACCGCTTCACTGCTTCCACTGCTTACCCTTTACATCCCTGGGAACCAAAGCATTCTTGAGTAATATTTCTTTGGATGTCGCAGGTTGAACAAAAATTACATCGATATGAAGAAATGCTGGAAAAGTGCAAAGCGGAAATTACAAAAAGTCGTACGAAAATCAAAGAACTCACACAGGAAAACGAGAAATTATCGCAAACTCTTCGTGCTGCAGAGGGGGAGGTACGCGTTTTTGTACGAATCTACTCTGTTATACTTTGCAATGATTTTGTTGGACGAATTTGTTGCATTTTGATTTCTTGTCTTACCTTCACTTTTATCGAGCACTCAACCTTCAGCTTTCAGATTTTCATACTTATACGAGTCTTCGAGAGCTACTTGCATACTCGTTCACTTTTTGATAACATTAATTTCATCTGTGTGTTCTTCCCCTTTATCTGGGTTAAATGTGTCACTTTTGTTTCTGATCAGCTCTGAATGGGTGTATAGAATTCTAAATTGCTTTTTTTGCTTTAGTCCGATCTTTCCACGTTGATTGTTGATCGAGTAACAAATGAATGGAAGCAGCGAATCGATAAGGTGGAGGAGGAATGGACGGCACGGATGAATAAGGTTTGAGCTACTTTTTCTTTGCTTTTATTGCCATGTCATCGTTATCTGTTTCATAGAACGACGAAGATCATGCCATACAGTTGGCAACCGCCAAGGCAGAGATGCATGCGGCTCTTGAAACGAAGGACAGGGAGGTGTGTCTCTCCAGCACTTTGCTGTTTTTGTTGACTACTTGAAATTGTTAAGATTGAATCTTGGCGCTCAAAGTGCCACACTTTGGAATTCCAAGATGGACAAGCTAATGAGCGTTGGCAGAAGAAAGTAGATGAACTGCAAAAAGCTATCCAGGTTTCTTCTTCTTCACCTAGTCCACGTACTGTGATTGTAATTGGTCGTAAACACTATGCATCCATTTGTATGTACAACACGTTGCGGAAATGTGATCTGTTGTTTTGCTAGCTAATTCACCGTTTTCATTTATGTAGGCATTGGAAGTCGAAAAAAGTGATATGATTGAAAAGCTGTCGGCGGCAAAGCAACAGGGTGTCAGAGTGAGTATAGTCGGTTTACTTTTCGTTTGTGGGATTGTTTGGTTGTTGCACTGTTTTCTGTCGTTCGTACTGTGGGCGTGTATTTTATTCTGATAGCTGACTTAAGGCTGTTCGCGATGAAGAAGAGAAGAAACGCGAGGACATGAAAGCTGAGTTTGAAGCGAAAGAGAAGAAATCAGAGGAAGAATTTATGGCTAAGCTCAACGAAGTTGAGACTGCGAAGAATAAGGAGATTGAAGACTTGGTGAGTGTTTTTCTCTTTTTTATCATCCGAGATTTTTATTTCAATTCTTTCTAAAGTATCTTTTTTCTAAACATTTTCTTTGTTAAGCCAGTGTTGAATCAAACTGCTCGATTTTTTTTTAATTTAGAATTTGCAGTCTCACTTTTATGATTCTGTCATGCCCTTAAAATCTTTCAAACTTCTGTTTCCACGATTTTAATAGTTTTCAACTCAAATCTGTGTTTTTACAGAAATCTGAGCTGGAGTCTTCTCGTAACTCTGAGATGTCCTTCAAAGAAGCTAAAGAACAGGAAGGCGCGTTGTCGGAAGAAGTTGAACGTTTGCGCAAGCAGCTGTGGGACTTGGAAGAGAAGAGTCAAGAAGAGGTTTGTAGCAGAAATTTGTCGAGTTATTTGAGCTGGTTTGTGGATGTTCTTGAACAATACATTGCAATTTGCAGGTGTCTGCGCTGAAAGAAACGCTAGCAAAATCCAATGAGGCGCACAAAGATAGAATGGTTGAGCTTGTGAAGGAACATGACGAGATTGTGTCTTCAGCTAGACAACAACAGCTCATAGAACTTGAGGCTGCTACGGCCAGGTAATTTACGCTAATCTATGTTCGAAAACTCTTTAAATTGTACTTTTGTTTCCAATATTCGCATTTACAAGTCTTGTATGTAGGTTTGAGCAAGCAAGAGAAGAAGCCGATGCTTTGCGTTTGAAAAATGAAGCTTTGGAGAAACAGCTGGAAGAGGTTGATGAAACTCGCAGCAATGAACGGACCCAAATTGAGGTTTGCGTTGCGGAAGCTCTGCGACACGCGTCAATTCAAGTTGTTCTAGAAACTCGAAGGCCAGTTAGAACAGCTACAAAAGAAACTGAAAGAACAGACAAAAACGAAAGAAGAGGAAAAGGAAGGAGAGATGGCTCATCTACGCGACTCATACAGCAAGCTATGTGAATCAAACGAGGACTTGAAGAAGCAGCTGAGTGAGCTCGAAAAGAAGTCTGCGGAACAGTTGGAAGGGTTAGTTCCATTGGCTTTTCAGTTGATTTGTTAGTTCATTTAAATGTTTTGCTAAAGAATTTTCTGGCATTATTGTAGTAATCGGAATTTTCCCTCATGTTTCTATAGTCGTTACCTCAGCTTTCCGTATCATCCTCTCTTTATTGGGTGCAAGCCTCTTTTAATCTTTGATTATCTCTCCAATTGGTCTCCCTTTGTGATCTCAAATTGTGTGTTTTGATCTCCTGCAAGATTTCTGATTATTTTCAATCACTTTTTCAGATTTGCTAATCCTACCTTAATTATCTGTGCTGCGCTATCCACTGCAACTTTTCTAACCTCGAACTTCGCAAAGCCTCTAAAAAAACTTTCTGGTATCCATTCGGCACTTTTGTGTCGGTTCTCCAGATTTCTTGAGTTATGGATGGCATTTCTATCTTTAAGCACGTTTTATCCTGTACCTCCTCAATTTTTCAAATACTAGGCTTTTTTCAAAGAAAGGTAGAATCCCTTTGAAATTTTACTTTTTTTGAAAAAAAAGAAAGTTTGTGTTGTGGAAATTTTTGAATTTCACCAAAGAAAGACTTCCGGAGCTTACTAACAATTTGACGTACTTTTCATTTGATCTGGCATTCACTCAGGTGCTAAGAGACTCGGACTTTGCGCCACAGATGAATGACTATAACTCTGCTGTTTCCATATTTGCGATTGCTCATCCTTCTTAATACTTAGCAAGCTTGCCACTATCAATCACAGCGGATTCTGGTCCCCTGCTCAGTTTGTATGGTTGCTAGGTCTATCTTTATCCACCATTTTGCATCCGGTTTTTCTCTTCAAAAAAAATCACCTTAGGCGACTTTACGTTCTCCTCTTTCCATTTTCTTTGAAGTTGCGCAAATTATTGATGTCATCAGCCGTGTTGCCGTGCAAGTCGCATTATCGTGAAAAACAAAAGTGCAAAGACAACGCACGAAGCTTGATATATGTTGTTTTTCGGAGGAATAGCTGTTTTTCTAGTGAGTCGCATGCACAGTCCATTTTCTGGTATCGTCGTTCATTGCCATCGAAAAGTCGCAGCGATAGTGGCTATGTTAATGGAATTGAATCGGCATCGTTTGATGAGGTGGAAATAACCCATAGTTGACTTTGCCCTCCGAATGAATGCGCTGATTTGAGAAAAAGAATTGTATTCTAAGCCAGTACGGTGCGATAATATTGCGCGGAAGTCCTGCGTTACGATTTTCTAGAAGCTTATATAATTGCGGATAGTTTTAAGTCTCATTTATACTATTTGACAGCTGTCTCATAAGAAATGCACTCTAGAAATTCCTCAGTCATTGGTCATTTAGTCACTTCTGTCACACGTCTCGTACTATTTTCTTCGTTTCTGCTATCATCACAACTGTCGCAAAAAGCTGACTCTGCAGATGTGATGAGTACTTTTCTAGCAGCGCAAATGATTGCAAAGGGGCTGACATATTAAAGCCGACCGACACTTTCTTTTCACAAAAAGTTCCTTTGCGATGATTTCACTTCGCTCTAGCGCTTTAGTTTGTGAATAAATATCGTAATGTTGACTTTCACCTTTGCAATGGAAAAGTACCACTATAAACCCATCTATCTCATTAGGTACGCTAATAAAAGTTATTAGGCTTCGCTTTTTGAAGTGTAGTCCTAACTACTGTCCTATCTCAGTTTTCTTCTAGAAAACAACACTGCGAAACGAATTTCGGCGCGTTGTTATACTATTGTCAGCTCTTTTGAGCGCACCAATCAGCGTCATCGAGTACGGTAGAAGTTACGGTCTTGGCTTGGGTTTAGGTTGGATTGATCTACCACGACTGGATCATGTGAGTCATAGTGTCTCTTTGTCACTTTCTGTATGATAAACCTAAGAATCTGGCTGGACACTGCCTTCAAGGATGGTGGGCCAAAAAAGGCTTGTTGGGGTGGAGCCTATCCGTCATGATTTACTACAGTCCTTATTTTGTTACCGGTTGCAGAGCAGACGAATTTCATTATTTGGTATCTCGAATAACCAACGGCGGTCCCAGGATTTGCGTCCGAGGGAGGACAAAAGTTTTTTTTTCAAATGAGGAGAGGTTTCACAAAATTTTTTGGGCCCATATTCCCCAAAATCTAGCCCCGAGAAACTTTTTTACAAGGCTAAATGATTTTTGAGAAAATTCGAATCACTTTAATTAATTGCAAGTATAAACAAGTTACTTGCGCATTTATGTAGCTTATATAAGTAATTCTTACGTTTTGATGCTTTCAGTAGTACCGAGGTATGCTCCCCAAATCCGCCTACGTCTTGTTTTCCTTAATGAAATTTGTAAGCTTGTAAGGGTCAAAATAAGGGCGGGGAGAATTTTTGCGACAGATGGCTGGACTCCACCCTCGATACGCCCATTTTTGGCTTGTTCACCTTGAACACAATAATAATCTGGATTGTCTTCATTCCGTGTTTTTTCCCTCAATGTTGTTATTTTGTTTACGCGTCTCTCGAACAGTACTGGTTATTGTTTGTTATCGGGTGTCGCAAGAATGCTAATGAAATCACCCATCTGTCTAGTTTAGAGAAACCAATTTATTTGTCTTTGACGACTGATTTTATGTAAATAGTAGTAGAGTGAGCGTAGGAAATCGTATTGCTGGCCATTCCCTCACCCTGCTTTGCTGATGGATTTATGTGTCCTTTGTGTGTTAGCAGTTGTTAGCACTCACAAACATTCACGTCTTCATAAACAGCTAGTTTTTGTCGTTTTGAAACCTTTTGTTCTTTCCGCTTTTCTTTATTGTCGGCTACGCTACGACTTTTTGCATCGTTCAAAGTGTGGGCTTATCACTTCTGACCCACACTTGATTACCTGTTTGAACTAAAAGTGCCAGCTGGCTGGTCATCGATGATAGCAAAAAGCCACGTAGGGACTTTTTCTTATGGGGGAAAGATTAGAATTCGTATGGCGGCTGTCCGAGGTGGTCGTTTGTCGTTCCGCACAAATCTCTAATAAGCACTCATTGATGCGCTTCTCCCCCGTGCCGTTTTCGGCTCGCTTTATTCGTCTTCTTCTCTCCAATCGAATGTGTTTTGGCAAGTGCAAAGGCTGTCGTCTCTCTCGGTCGCCGAGAGCACACGGCTAGGGATTGCACACGTGCTCTCCCCCTTTTACGGATTATTTTGCACGAGCCGAAGGCTTTGTTTCGTCTTTCGACGAGTTTCTCAGCTTTTTATGATAGAAATTTGCTGGAACTTGCAATTGTCTCATCCGCTGCAAATTTTTTCCTGGCTTCGGTCATAATGCTGATTCAGGGAAGGATACTGTAGCCGATTTCTACGATCCATACTGCAACTTTTTGTTGATGACCACATTTGCGTGACTAATTGGTTTCCTATGCGAACCCCAAAAACAACTGCTTAAAATGTTTTGAAGACAGTATCCAGCTAGTACGTCTTTTTGGATTTTCTATATGGATATTGTACCAATTTGCAGCTTAGAATTCATTCATGCGCAAGAAACTGAACTTCAAAATTTCGCCCAGTACCGTACTATATAATAGCAGGCTAGAGTTGAGGCTGGGTTTCTCGCCCACAAGTGGTTCATATAAGCCGCAGCTTTTGCAATGTCTTCTTCAAAGCATTGTCTCTTTCCACGTAGGAATTTTAATACCAAATTCTTGACTCTGCCTCAACTTTCAATTTGCGTTTTGTGTTTTTGCTATAGTGCGACATAAAATTATAGGATTTTATCACTTCTGTAATGTTTATCTTACTATGACTATCTCTCGACAAGCTTCTTTTCGATAATCACATAAAACCATAAATTTTCGGAGCTGTCTTCTTTAGTCGGATCTTGCCATATTTTTACCATGTCTTGGAAAAAAATTTCGTCCCATTTTTTTACTGTGTTACAATCTCGTTCAAAAGAAATAAATCGCCTTTTCTTGCTTCGCTCATTTCTCCTTTGCTGAAAGCACTATCGGTTTTCGAATGCTGAGAATGTTCGAGCACTCCGCTTTCTCAACTTCGCTTAGTTTCTAAGCCACTGAAGCCCTTTTCCCTCTGCTAGAATATTTTGCATCCTCTTTGACAATCGTCCCATTCTTCCGCTGTGCATTTTTCTGTGGCTGCTCTTTCGATTCCGCGAGAATACATCGGCCTACTTTTGCGTTTGAACAAAATTTCTGGTTTTGACTCTATTCAAATCATGTCTCAATTCACTATAGTATGAGAACCTAATTGTTGTTGAAGACATATGCTTAGGCTGTTTGAAACAATAGAACTGAAAATCTCCTTGTTTGATTTTTCTGGAGAGTTTTTTTTATGAGGCATCTCGAGTTTTTTAGTCCAATTTTTCTTTTTACAATAAGCATGGTATGACACATCACCCCATATAGATTAGTAAGGCGACTATATCGCATTATTTTCGTCTCTCACACAGTCTTGCTTGAAAGTGGCGAAAGTGTTCAAATAATGTTTTGCTTTCTAGATTGTCAAGGTGTTTTTACAAATCAAACGTTTTTTCTGAAAACATAAATTTCTAGTTTCCAAATTTTGCTAGCGGGTTCTCTGTAAAAAGAGGACCAACTTTTAAAACCTCAAAATTGTCTTATTCGCATGTGCTAGTGGCGATCCCAGTAGTTTTTGCGAATTGACGAAAATAAAATAAAGATCAAAACAAATAATAAAGTTGAGTGACTAATAAAAACGATACAATTTGCAGAGAAAGGGCGTGATGTTAGCCGCTTTCAATATTTTTTCAGCCGCAGTCAATCTGATAAAGATTTCATGAAAAAGGGAAAGCAGTTCTTGCTTTTTACTGCTTATGTAGACCGCTGCATGAAAAATCTCGTGCGAGTATGCTGCTGCCCCGCTGGTCCACCATTGCTTACGGCATGGTCTAATCTCAAAAAAAAAAAACAACAGTTATTTGCTGATATGAAATGGGATCGCCTTTCCCAATCAACACGATGTAATGAATGGCCAAATCTTGACCCCAGCTGAAATCTGAGCTGCGCAGATTGCTTAATGTGAAACTATCCAGTTACAAGGTCTCGTTTCGATAAGCAATTTCGTTTTTACTCTTGACTCCTCTTGCATTGGTGTCCTTGAATGTCCATTGTCATAGTCATAATCTCTGGAATGTCTTCTATCATTACTTTTAACTTTTTCTCCCAAACATTTGCAATGACTGAGTTGTTTAAGTCGTTAAATTGTGTGTTTAGAGCCAAGAAAGAAGAAGAGAAGTTACGCCAGGAACTCGAGGACGTCCGCTCTATGTTGGAGTCGCGAAATGCGCAAATTCAACTCATGGAAATACGCACAGAAGAGCTCGAAGCTGAACTGGCAACGGCTCGTGAATTGGCGGCTATGCATGAACATTTGAAAGCTGAATTAGAGGTGAGTGGATGGATTCGATAGCTTGCAGTTAGAACAAGCACAAGAGTAGCCGCGTGTTAGGTAAATAAAGACTTTAGGTTATAGTTGGGTTTGACTTCAAAAATGTGCTATTTTATGCATCCACAAAATTTTTTTTTTTTTTGAAGAAGGAGGGGAGGGATTATGCTGAAGAACGCCTTACCTAAAAGAAGAGGTTGAAACGGAGAGATAGATTTTTGAAAGTGTTATGTACCTTTTATGCAGTGATGGTTCAAGTACTTTTTTAGGGGTAGAAAATAATGTCTTTTCCCGAATGAATGCATGGGCTTCATCTACGATTTTCATTACAATGATTGGAATTTTCCGAGCTTGAAACTGAAAGTGTGAGAGTAGGAAGTTACTGTCTTGCCCACAAAATTTCTTTACAAATTTTCAAACGTCATAAAATGTCTTGGAATTTTTTTACAATTCATTTCTATAATCTACGAGTCAGGGCATTTATGTTACTCACGGAGATCATTAATCGTCTGAGCCAGATGTGCAAATACCTCGGACAAATGTACTATATTTCGTATTAGGACCTATATTGTTCAAAGGCAAATTGAATATCGTGTATGAGCTTTTTTTAGGAGGCTCAAAAACAACGCTCAGATATTGAGTCAATGGTGGCGTCCTTACGCGAACGTGCTGAAAAAGCCGAGGCAACCTTGAGAGGTATGGTTTTTTAGTCATTTGAACTATAATTGTTCTCAGTGACTTCATTGACCCTTTGCTGACTTCATTGAAAACGGACACGATCTCAGATTTTCATTTCTTTGCATTTTCTGAAATTTGAACATTATAAGTTTACCATATGACATAAATTAGCCTTATTTTGGTAAACCGAATGTTGTGTTCTAGAAGATCGTGCACGATTACAAGCGGATCAAACGGCTCTAGAAAAATCGGTGGAAGAGCAGAAGGAGAGGGAAATACTGGTACCTTTGTCATCAGAACCAGAGATGGAAAAGAAGGTAATTAAATTTAGAATGTGTGCATTGCTTATCTACGCATTTTTATATCGGTTAATTATGGTTTTTTTTTACTTTGTCCGTCAGACTTTCCCCTTTTTTCTGCTTACGTTTTGCACCTTTCTTTTGCAATAAGTTGGACATTGGATGAAGATTTAGAGCTTTGCACTATACCTTTCAGCTCGCCGAACCGTCGGATGTACTCATAGACCTTACATCGACTACAGCTGTTGAAATGAACACAAGTGATGAACTGCAACAACTACGAGCAGAGATTGCCCAGCTGAATAATTTGAATGCACAGCTGTCGTCACGGATACAACAATTGGAGGAGGGAAGAAATCTTGTTGAAGTTTCGCAAAGAGATACGGAAGACCTGCTGAGTGATCCAAAGAACGGCGAAGAAACGTTCCCTGATAAATCTGCAATGCTTGACAAGTTCAAAAAATTGGAAACTGAGACGCAGAATGTGGTTATGGATATGTCGCAAAAAGCTGAGGTTGCGGAAATGGAGAACATACGGCTGACCCAAGAGCTTAGGAAGAATATGTTGGAGATCGAGAAGGCTCATGTGCAAAGAGAGGCGCTAGAGACGGAGCTGCGCGAGTTGAAAGCAATGGTGAGGATGTTCTTTATTATGGAGAGTGTTCAGACGAATGTGAGTACCTGCGATTCTTATATGGGAATGATTGGGAAAGGATAGGGGAACGAACTCCGCCATTATGAGCAAACTATGGGGACAACTGATCCTTTGACGATGCTTACATGTCGTTTAAAGGCAGTGGCTCGGCAGAATGACAACTTTGGGATATTCATCGTTTTCGGTTCCACTGGATGAGCTAAGTCCTAGACTGTGCTTTACAGCTTCAAAAGATGTGAATAACCCGCTTTTCCATACGTAAAAAAGCGCTATTTTTGGGCGATCGCGTATCTGCCCTTTAGAGCGCGATTGGCTCTGGGTACGGTAGGGACAGTATCTTCACTCACGAGCCAATCGCCCTCTATAGGGCAGATCCGCGGTCCGCCCAAAAATAGCGCTTTTCGCATCTGGAAAAGCGGATTATTGATATCTTTTGAAGCTGCAAAGCACAGTCTTGGACTAAGCTCATCCAGGGGAACCGAGAATGATGAATAAATATTCTAAAGTTGTCATTCTGCCGAGCCGCTACCTTTAAGAACCAGTGCGTGGGCGCACAAAATGGCGGAGTCCGTTCCCCTATCCTTTGGGAGATTTTGTTGTCCCATTAGGAGACTTTTGTTGAAATCATAACCGAAACGGCAACTCATATGATGGCATCTTGAAAGCTCGATTCTGAATTCTTGCCCAATCTTTAACTTTGCCATACTCAGGAACTAACCCGCTTAGGAGTACGGTCTGGGCAAGTTTTTAGAGTCGTGTTACTCGTCCCCATCTGAATCATATGAGCTGTCGCTTGAGCAGTGGCGTCCTAATCAGATCTCATACAGGAAACGCGAGTACCCAGATCTGTTTGGAATCTGCGGCAGTGGAAAATTTGATGTGAGTTTTAGTTTGCTGAACGACATCCAAACACGACGGAGACGGAAATGATGAGTCATATCGAAGAACAGCATTTGTCTGCAGCGCAAGGTGATCAGAAAGTGCAAATGAACTCATCATCGCTTGAAGAAGAATTGGAAAAGGCATGTTTACTTCTCAGTGCCTTGCATCGAAAAACGGTATGTACGATTTTTTTGGATGGATCGGGGAGAGGGGTTTGAGGAAGGAGAACGGGGGAAGTGCTGTGCGATGACTTTCCAGTACATCTATATCTACTTACAGGATTATTTTTGACAACTTTTGGACTTTTCGCTTTAGCCCAGTTTGTGTAGGATATGAGATAATAGAAAGTGGGATGGGGATATGAGTATGAATTTAGAGAGGGAGTAGAGAAAATGAACCAGAGAGTGATTTCTTTTATCGTAAGAGCCTTTGTTTGGTAGTTGAGAGGATGGATGGAATTTGCGTTCAAATTTGGGTTTCTCAAAGTTAAGTTGCTTTTGCGTTGTGTAATGTTTTGTACCATAATTTTTTCCTTTTTTTAGATGCAGTCGCTGCTCAATGAGTCTAAAGAACAACATAATGTGGAAATAATGCAGCTGAATGAGCAAATCAAAATGTTGTCCAATGAGAAGGTGAGGATCTTATGGCTCTTTTTTTCTTTCGAGTTCATTTATCTATCTAATTTCATTCGTTTATTTATTCATTTAATTATCTTACACCTCGTAGATTGAGTTGTCCTATGGGAAATTTTCGTCCTTATCTCATTATTTTATCTCTGGGTCAAAGAATTTGCTACAATTGGTGTGGAGTCACACACACACACACACATCTCAGGTGAATTTCTAAGGTATTTTGCGCTGGCACTATCATGACAGTATTTGCCTACAGCGCATACTCCCCTTGTGACACCAAAAAAATTACTATGATTTCTTCAAATCAGTTATCTGGGTCAGAATCGCGCGTTTGAGAAGTATACATGTTCTCAATTTATTAGGTACTTTGCGTTACGATCGCTGCTTATTTTGGTATTATTTTGCTTATTTTGCTCATTTCAAATCTTCAGTTATAGCTTTTACTATTTTACCTAATTGATTTCTATGCTACTTCCGTCATTCGAGTTGATTACAGGAAAATCTAGAATCCCGTCGCGCTGAAACTGAGCTCGAACGTGCTGCACTTGAGGAGCAGGTTGCCACAATAACAGAGCAAGTCCGACAGTTAACCGAATTAGCAGCCACTCAGAAGGAAGAATGTGATAAGTAGGTTATCCCAAAGAAAACTTGCAGCTATAGCTTTTGTTATCTTTGCACTATCAAACGGTTGTCTGTTAAGAGCATTGGAGTCGCTGAAGCAGAAGACGACTGAGTATGAAGAGAAAACGGCTGCTCTTACGTCCGAACTCAAGGAAAAATCTGATAGTGTTGTTAGATTAGAAGAACAATTGCAAGAGGTCAAGAAAATGGAGGTAGTGGATTTCAAATGTTTTGTTTAGATGTAAGTAGCTCCATGATGAAAGCGGTCCCTTTAGGCCGAAGCTCAGTCTCGTCTAGCAGCTAGCGATGAGCATATCAAACAGCTGGAGAAGCAGGTAGATGCCGTGACATCCGATTTGGAACAGTCAAATGCAAGTCTTGCCGAGGAACGTGCACGAGGTGACAGGTGCGCTTTTTAGATTTCCATATCTCATTCAAATTATCTGCTCATGCGACATGAAGTTGCCCATTCTCTTTTCCTGAGAACTGTAGTGCCTGAACATTAGCTCCATACCGATGTAGTGGTAGATTTTTGAAAATTTGTCACGTTTTTTGAGGAGTCTATGAGAAGTATCTATATGGAAAAAGATTGGTTCAGTTGATTGCTGCTTCTCTATAATCCGATAATTCTAGCGAGCATGCTCATCTCCAAGAACTACAATCCGGTGCTGAGAAGCAGATGCAAGATCTGAGTTCGCAGCTCAAAACTACCGAAGAAAAACTGTCAAGGAAAGAACAGGAGCTCGCGGCAATGAAGGAGGCTCAGGTACATTTGCAGTATGTCGTTCGTACCCGATATGAACATGATATTTTTGAGGCTGATGGAGCTATGGCTGTTTCGAATTTGGAGTCCCAGTTATCTGAATTGAAGAAGAAACTCGAAGAAAGCGAAACAAAGGCAGCTGAAGAGTCTAATAAGTACGTTTGCTAGGTGAAAAGTGGTAGTTAAGAGCTCTTCTAGCCGAAATATGATTTGGTTAGCTTTTAGTGTAATCCTACCACTTTTAAGCAGTTTCGATTTCCTTTCTACGTTTTTCATGTCCTTGTAATTGAAATTACCGCTTTTTCTAGTGAAGTTGATTTTCAGGCTCAATTTCCATATGCTTTCCATATAAGTGAAAAGATATGAGTTTATTTTTCTTGATTCCAGGACCTCTGCGTCGTTGCAACAGTTGGAGCAGAAGATTTTGGCTGAGGAGAAACGTGTTCTCGAACTTCTTGAGCAGTTGAAGACAGAGCAAGCTGAGGCGAAGAAAACACTAAAACAGGTCAAGGATGATGCCAAAGAAGAGCAGGTACTGCACCGCTTGCAATTGCCCAGGGCATTACGTGTGGTTTCCGTTCTTTTTTTGCTCGCTATGGTCCATGGTGACCGCTTTTTCCTTCTCGTGTTCTGTCTTAATTTTCACTCTCCTCTAAACTCGACTCTGTTGCTTGAATGTGTTCTCTGACTACTTTTTGTGTGTGGATAACTGTTCTTTGTAGGCTTCTCCAATGGCGGCTAAAATCCGTGAATTAGAAGAGCTGAATGATAAAATGCGAGTAGAATACATAGCGAAGGCGAGTATGAACGCCGTCTTGTTAACACTCGCCGATTATACATGACTGTGATTCGTTTATGATTGGTATTTTGTTGACGTTCTTTGCTCCAAGACTACTCATTTTTGGTTTTGTTGTACGTTGGGCACTACCTTCCCTGTGAAATGATGATTTGAGTTCGGTAGCACTGACATTGAGGCATTTAGGAGAACGTGGTGAAAGAACTGCGAGCTGAGATAGACAGTATCCATAAGCAGTACGAGGAGAGCGCTCAAGCTGAGGAGAAGAAACTAAAGGCTGCAAAGGTTAGTGGTTGGAGCAATACGCAAATTTTTTCGTTTTGCACATATTTTTCGTGTGAGCCTAATACAGTATTTTGTGACATGAGCATTGAGCTCGATATTGCTGATCGCATGTCTTTATCGGTCTTAGTAAAGCAGTAGAGCGGCGCTTCCCAAAATTGTTTTCGCTTAGTATTAGCTGGTATTCGATTTTTATCAAATTTTTCTTTTCTTTCTGCCATAGCAGCAGAAACGAAGATCTTTGCACCTTTAGTGCATCCACTAGCTCAGTTCTTTGTTGAGACTAGTGAACCAGCAATTAAAGTGCTAGCAGCATGCGCGGCTACGGGACCGCCACGTGGTTTCCCGCTATGTGCACATTTTTGAATTGCGCTTGCGATTCTTTATATATTAGATTTATATATTAGATTAGATCAGCCTAACATACATTTGAGAAGTACGCTGAAATTCATTTGAACTTTTCCATTTGCTCTCTTTTTTAGAGCCATCCCAGATTTTGTTGATTTTAGAAACAACTGGCTCAGCTGAAAGCCGACGCTGACAAGGCCGCTTCCACAACGACAGAAATTCAGGCAAAGCTGGTTGTCGCTGAAGAGAAGCTAAGGGATTTCGAAAAAACTCGCGAACAGGAGAAAGCTGAGGAGGATAGAATAAGGTTAAATAAATCTTGCATTTTTACTACATTTTTTTACTTGTGTAATTTTTGAACTTTCTTGAGATGCTTTTTTGGACTTTTTTCACATTTTTGGAATTTTTTTTCGTTTTCCTCAGTTTTCTTTCAGAGGTTCTTAGTAGATTGATGGACGATTTTTAGAGAACAGTATGCCAACGCTTTGGAAAACTTGAAATCCGAGTTAGCCGAAGCCCATAATCGCATCAGATCTGCTGAATCTGTGGAAAAAGAGAGTGAGAAGTTGCGCGCCGAACTTGCTGAGGTGAAGAAGCAGTGCGAAGAAGAAGTGGCTAAGCAAAAAGAAGTAAGAACTAGTTCCTTGAAATAATCTTCTCCCAAACTGTGTTACCCAGGAATCCGAACAAGCTGTTCAAGAATTCAAAACGAGAGCCGAAAAGAAACTGGCAAGGATAAAAGCATCCGCGGAAAAGGAAGTCAACTCAGCTAAAGCTGAACTGCTCTTAGAGGTGGCGTTTTACAATGGATGCAACTGGGATATGGCTTTATGGTCAATTTGAAGGTGGACGAGCTACGACGCAATCTTTCTGAACGTGATCGGCGTTTTGATGAGCTTGTTGTGGAAAAAGCTCGAATGGAACAGCAGATCCTTGGACAGCAAGAGATGGAGAAGGAACTGGAACAGCGACGTGCTAAAGAAAAAGAGGTGAGTCAGGCCCTTCGAAAATTTTTGATAAGGATGATTCCCAACTCTTCACTGAGCCTGTAACCCCGAAATATGTTTAAAGAGGAGGGCTAATAGCAGCCACGCCCTTCAGAAAATTTTTTGCAAATATTAACCCGAATACGAATTACTAATCCGAATATTTTTAGAATATTGAAAATATTCTGATTATTTTCAAGTGAAAACAAGTCACTTGCACATATAGCCTATTTGGAAACGGGTATCAGCTAACGATAAACTTTATAAATAGTCCCATCTGTTTATGCCAAAAGTAGTTATTTTCCAAATGCAGAAATATCTTTATACTATGGGTCTTAGAGAATCCCTGCGCTCCTTGCTGAAAATGCTTTTCCTTCCTTCCCCCCCCCCCCCTCCCGCGCCCTCATTTGCTATAGAATCTCTTACTCGACGCTCTGTTATATTATATATCTTATCTTTATAGTTGACGGATTTCCGAAAGAATGTGGAAAGGCATGTGGTAGAGCTGGAAGCGGAGAACAAGCTGCTCAAGGAGAAAAATGTTGATCTGAATAAGTACAAGGAGGAAAGCGATGCGCGGATTGAAGACAGTGAGCGAAATGTGAAGGAGTTACAAGAGAAGGTCAGCTGATTTTGCAAATCATGCCTTTCCAATGGCGCATGTGTAGTTCCCGACTAAAATGCTTTTTTTTTCTAGATAAAAGCCCTTGAAGATGCTAATGAGGAAGGCTTCCGGAAAGCAGCTGCTAAGCATGAGAGTGACAACAAAAAAGTAAAAAGCGCATTCTGAAATTCTATGTTTGATCGAATGAATGAAATTGTGCGTTATAGGCTGTGAGGGAACTCCAAAGGGAAGTGAAACAACTTTATGTTGAGCTGAATGAGAAGACTGATGCCCTTGACATGGCGAACGCACGATTAGCTGAGCTAGAATCGAGTAGTTCCAATCACGAAGAAGAAATTGCAGAAAAGCAAACACAGCAGGCTGTTGATGCTTCGCCGAATGTTGAGGTACGATTCATCTTCTTTTTGATCTTTCAACTTTCAGCGCTTTTATTGCTTGAAAATTTTGCTTTTTTTCTATCCGCTTCAGATCGAGGAGGAATTGGAGTCTATGCGAAAACGGTTGAAAGATTCGCATAAAGAGGTCGATAACCTTAGGGAAGAGAATGCTCGACTAGAGCGACTGATGGACCAACAGAATAAAATTAACTCTGTATGTAGTTTAATTTCTGATACTGATGCTTCTGCTATATAATCAGTTACAGAATACTCCCGCGATCATACATGTAAATGGTGGGGATTGTGTTGGTTTTGCTGATCCTGCAGAAGCTGAGGTTTGTTGAAATAGCAGACATTTCCTTGTCTTAATTTTTTGTACTTTTTACACGTTTTTTTCATAGCCTTTCCGTTCTTTTGTTAGCTTTGTAAGTGCTGCATATATTATTTCAGTATCTTAAAAACGTCCTGTACCGATATATGTATTCAAGAGAGAATCTTGGCAAGGAAGCTGTGGTGAGTTCAACATCTGCTCTATCTGAACGTTTTATTTGCTTTTTTAACTAGTCTCCTTCTTTTACTGAGATTTCGCGTGTATTCTTCACTTTGTGCCCCCAGGACTTGTGATGGTCGTTTTATACTACTGCTATCATGAGCCGCAAATAATTTAGAAATCGCTTCTGCGCGCTATGCTTTTATCAATTTTCTATAGTCTATATGTCCGTGTTAATATGACTCAGAGGCCTCCCAAGCGTTGCTGTTGTCGCAACTCGATGGCGTCGCGCCGTTGCTGTTGCAATTCGTTTGTTCTTCACTTCGTCAGAGAAATTGAATATAACTGATGTGCCCTGACGAAATAGTAGACAGCGACAGTTGCGACAGTTTTCTTGTGATTTATGTCAAATCCTCTGCCTCTAAGAAACATAGAGTCGGAAGTACATAGATGTTCTGAATAAAATTGCTCGTTACAATCGATTTTTTTAGACGCTTGCCCGGGTAATCGGAACCGTGGCAAAATTTTCCAAATCGGAAATGGAGAACGTGATCACCAGAGAGGAATCACGTGTGGCTGGATGGGTCGGCGGCACTGTTTCGCACGTTCTTACAGGGCGATAATCTGATATTTCGATTTTCTCCTAAGTTCTTCCCTTTTATATTAGTACATATCAAACCCTGCTCATTGTTCATCCGTTGCAGCTGTGGATCTTTCGAAGGCTGCTATCTTTCTCCAAAAATTAATGTTCTGACTTTATTTGATCAAGTCCTTTTTGATTATGTGGCGTAGATCATTATTGGATCACTTATCATCTGGTGAAAGGCCTTTTTCTTTCTTGTTTTTTCTGTATTGTTGACTTTTTTGTCTGATTCTCCTTTTCTCAGAGCTAGATAACGAAAGACTTTTATCTGTGAAGTTATGCTGTGATTTTCCAACATAGTCCCATCATAATGAGGCAAAGCCCGTTGTATACTAATCTTTTTTCCATATTTTGATGATTGTTATAAGAGTAGGATGTCAAAAATATGGTGTACATCGGTTGAATTCAAGTGCATGTCTATAAAGCTAAATCATTATCATTATTTATAATTGTTAATGCAACTGTCTTATTTCCATAAACTACTTGCTTTACATCACCACTGCAAGCAACGATTGGATAGGAACTGACGATGAGCCTTCTACATCCCAGATTGATGGATTAATCAATAAAATCTTTGATATGGTAATCTAATTCTCCAATGTATATTTCGAAGATCTTGCGTGATGAGAGCACAACTGTGGTCGGCTTGTCGGCTCATAATTGTGAAGAAGAGTTCTGCTTTAATTTCTTGGAACGAAGTCTCCATCGGTGCTCAAGATCTTCTTTCCCGCGAATTGCTCGGTTCTGGAGCTTTCCAATAATATTATTCATGCAAAGAATAAGGCACGACACATGTAAGCAAGTTGAGTGTTAAAGGTTCAGCAACTCAGATAATTGCCGGGGGCAGGCGGCCATGCGAATTTTAAGCAAGCGGGCCCCTGAGAAATAGTTCGCTGATCTTTTGCGGTATGCTTGCAGAAATTTGGAATAATTTTGACCAATTTTTAGACGAATGCTTGGAGAACTATCTCGGTCTTCCTATAGATTAGTTACGGCGCATTGGCCGCATTCTCGCTGACTTTCCGCAAGAACATGCAAAATTATTGAGGGCCGGGCGGTCCTTTGTGGAGGACCGCACAACCCTCAGGTGCTTTTCGTTAAGAGAAAGTACTTCAAACTTGAGTAATCAAACCATCGATGACACCTCTGCAGCATAGAGTCTCACATTTGCTCGACGTACGCCCGAAACCGCTTAAAAGGCTCCGAGCGCCTGCTGAAAGTTGGGCAAGCGCTCGCTGAAAGAGATTATTTGACGAGCGCCAGCAGAAAACTCTGTATTCTGCCCCGCTAGCAGGACATTCGACAGTAAAGGAGGTACCGCCCGCTGAAGGTCTGGCCACGCCCCAAAATTCTGCTGACCGCCTGCAAGAAAACGCGAGTTTGCGGACCTCCCCCCCCCCCCCTCCGCGACTATCTGAGACCATGCCACTCGTCCCAGAATACATGTTAGTATCCATAAATGCATTTTCTGTATTATTTCTCGCAAATCGAAGGGAAAGATAGTCCAAAAAGTGGCCACCCCACTACCACAAATGTGTTGTATGCAAGCTTTAGTGAGTATAATCTTGGAATCACACCTGTAATCAAAGCCAGTGATATTTTTGCGTTTCCGGGGGCACGGAATCCAGCAAATGTACATAGATACTATACTTGGGACCGAATCGAATAATTATTCGATCATTCGAATAAATCATTCGAATGCGAATGATTCGAAAAGTCGAATATTCGAAAATCTGAGATTTCGAATAAAATTCGAAAGTCGAATATTCGAAATTTTTTGTTTTCGAATATATTCGATAATCGAATATTCGAGAACTTCGATTTTCGAATATTATTCGATATTCGAATATTCGAAATTTTCAATTTTCGAATATATTCGATATTCGAATATTCGAAAAAAATTTCGAATTTCCCCAAGTATAATAGATACGTTCACTATTATGTGTCAGCTGGATGACCAAGTTGGAGATCCGTTCCGATTTTCTGGAAAAGGATCCGATTTTTGAGAAGACTGAAAAATTCTATCAAATTTGTGCGCAACTTCTTTTCCTTTTTTGGACTTACCCGTAAACCCCGTCGAGTGAAGATAAATTTCCCAAGCAATGACTTGTGCAGAATTCCTTTTCCTCCCCAGCTGCTATGGGTACTGACGATTTCAGATTTTTCTGCAGCATTCCAGATTTTTGATGACCTAACTTAAAATGGTCAAATTTTACATGGTCTTAGTCCCATTTTTATTTCTGCACTCAGTGTGAAACAGAAGCTCCACAAAACAAAAATGAAAGCGGAAGAGATAATCTTTCCAATGAAATTACAAGCAAGCAAATCCGTTGAAATCTCGAAGTTACAAATTTTTGAAAATGAAACGACAGAACTTGTGCACCAACCTAATACTTTACAAAGACCACGATTTTCGTAAAAAGCGTGTCCGAAAACCTCTATGTGTAAAGTTTTTTACAATTCAAGATCATCAACATTTTGACTAAAATCCACCGGGCAGTTTCAGAGAGTAGAACAAGAAAAAATGAAATCACCCGAACATCTCGAAAAACTTGCTCATAAAGGTTATCCGACCCGCTGATTACGAAAATCACATCTGCCTAGCAAGAGAGCTGCATATTTTAGAGATATGGTGAGAAGAATTTAGAAAGACATGTTTTTTCCAAAATCCACCAGCCCTTCTATTTCCTTTGGAAAGAAGTATACGGCTATTTCTGAGCGCCCCATAATCTACAGAAGAGGTACTATCGAAAAATTCTTTCTGGAATCTACTGGGGGTATACGCGCTGCTTTACACCTTTGCGAAGAGACGTCCGCAGAAAGTTACAAGAATACTGAAACCGAAATATCAAGGACATTCTGTATATCGAAGATTCGCCTTGATGAGCTGAGCACAATGCTTCTTTCATATCCAGAAAATTTTCACTCCAAAGAAAGTTAGGTGAGAAAAATCTGGAAACTTATTTTTGCAGAATTCACCAACGCTTTTGTCTCTTTTGGAAAGAAGTCTGCGGCTACTTGCTAGCGCACTATAATCTACAAGAGCAGCACTATCGAATGGTACTTTGTGGTATCTTCTATGTTGGATAGGCGCTGCGTTACATTCTCGCGAAAGGACCTCCGCAGAAGAATTTGTGAAAACTGTAAAAGAGATATAGACGCATGAGTATGTCACAAGATTTGCCTTCACGAGCTGAACACAATGCTGCTTTCGGAGTTAGAATTTAATCAATCCGAAGGGAGTTATGGCGCTGCGTATTTGCGATATTCCGGGAATTTCGCGATATTTCCTGAATTTCGCGAAATTCCCGTTCTAAGAGTGGTGTCGTACATTGCAAGCACGCGCGGTACTCTACGATATGTGCTTCGTACGCGATTTTCAGCCATTCCCCTTTGTCTTCCTGCATTTTGGGCCCCGTCATACTTAGCCAGAAGAGCCCAATTTTGCACATATCCGTGCAGAATGGGCTCCTAAAACTACACCTAACTATTTTTGCAATGCGCAACAGAATGTGGCCTCTGGGATCAGCACACTGATTAATCCACTTACACTAAAATTCCAAGGAAAAACCTATATCCCACGACTAGGCACCTCCATATGCTGAGACGCGCCTCGTCGAGCTGAACTGAATGATACTCTTAAATATAGAATTCATAAACTTTGAGTCAAGAGAGGTCTTTCGACGATTTTTCCCGCCGAATTTAGGCGCCCGCCGCCTAACTTTGTCGCGTGACGCGGTGCTTGCCGCCTAACTGCGGCGGCCGCCGCTTAGATTCAGTGGCCGCCGCCAATTTTTTTCAAAAATTACGAGCGGTATTGTAGGTAGCCTTATCAGCTGGTTATCGATGCACCTACAAAGGATTTGAATGAAAATCCTGAAAATGTGCAAAAGTAGGCATGGTAAAATCGAAGGTAAGGTTTCGGCGATTATCTTAACGCTAGTCGAGTGAGTAAATCGCGAACATAGCTGCTGGAAAGAGGAAGAAATTTTGCACGGTGCTGCTTGGATAATTTGTCTATCTTCACACGGGGCTCGGGTAGGTCCAAAAAACGATAAGAATTTTTCACCAATTAATTGTTCTGGCTTTGAACTTTACTTGTACTACAACTTGGGTAGACCTTTGATATCAATAAGGGGTTTACTTTTGGGACCACCTAGTACTATCCGGTTTCATTTTCTAATCCCAGATTCAGTACATGGAAACTCAACCATTTTTATGTTCACAGTGGATTAACAAGAGTGCTGCAAAGAGTTTACAACAAACAACTTCAAGCGTAAAACAGATTTTGCTGTTAGACTCATACCAAGTATATTCTAAGAACTAGCATAAATACCACAAATAGCCAATATTGGCATTGATCTGATACACAAGAGGATCGTCCCTCGATCAACTGCAGAAGTCACAGAATTTGCAAATTCTTGCAAGTATTTGTCTTATCAATTTTCTTACCATGTACAAAATAAAGAGTTAATTCACCTCTTCTTACTAAGAAATCCTCCGAAGAGGTATAACGGAAGAAGGAGACAAGCTGAAGTTAATATTCTTTTCGTGCGAGGTAGTTGGGTGGCCCATGAAATTAGGGCTGAGAAAAGTAGCAACTTTGTAAGATCTGAAATTTTTCTTTTATCTTCTTCCCATCTTTCTTCTTTGCGCGATCCTCGGGTAGTTGAAGATGATATGTTGATTGCAGATTGATCGTGCAGATTTGTCTATATGTTTAAAAATGCGTCCATTCTGTAAATCGAGGAAATTGTTAATTTATAGCAAAATATGAAGAAGCTAGCAAAGAAGTTCTGACTATAGTTGCCATAGGTGGAGCAATTTCTCTGCTCCATTTCACTTTTAAGCCGGCATCTGGATGACCCCTTTCAACTGAGGTTGAGACTAAGGTCAAGGCATAACAGCAGACTAAAACATCTATGATAAATGATGTACATTTTGTTTCAGCTGCTGCTTCTTCTCCGTCGTGCATGGCATGACTGCACTTTTATAGCGTTTGCGAAAAAGCGCAAGCTTGAGACTTCCTGTCTCATTCAACAGTTTTGTTTCCTGTCTGGGTCAGTTTTCAAAGCGAAATAAACCCAAAATTTTAGGGATGTCTTTCTTGGATAAGCAACATTGTTCAATGAATGTATGTTGCCGCAGGGAAGAATTACGCAAGAGTGAGGTCTGTGCCCGATGGTGGGTGTTCATTGAAAAGAATCGAATTATATCTTCTTTCATTGAAAAGCATGATAGGAATTAAGGGAGCACTTTGTTTTTTCAATTATAAAGTTTTCCAGTCACATGCGAAGCCTCGAAAAGACGTTTCGAAAATAAAGCATAATATAATTTACAAAATCACATTGTAGATGAATAAAATTGCTCAAATTTTGCTCCACAGAGCAGCTAGGAAAAAAGACGCGGTCTACGTCGATTCCTCTTGCTTTTAGCTATTAGGTTGTCCGGAAATTAATGCAGGTTTTGATTTTCAGCCGCAATAAGTCATATATTTCTCATTTTTGAATAGGATGCAAGGTACTGTTCGATAGAGCAAAGCAAGCTCTACAAGATGGCTAGGTTGCTTTAGCAACAGCTCTGATCCACAACGAGTTTCGAGCCAAAAACTAAAAAGATTCAACTGCCCGAAAAACAGAAAAATCGTAACCCATTTCGTAAAAATCCTACAGAAATTCTAACTTGCTCACGTAAATACAAGCCACAAAAGGCATCTATATACGCCGTTGCCGTATTTTTTTCTCTGTTAGAAATCAAGGAAACGGAAATTTTCGTGCATTTGCTAAAGTGGTGCTGTGCCGTTCCCACATAGGTATTTGTATACTACAACCCTTTAGAAGTATAAACGTAAATTTCCAGCTCTCTACACGCTTTAGTTCGCGAGAAATTTGAATTTTAGCTTGGACCACATGAGTAGGAAAAACTGTATTCGATATTTCTCGCGAACTAAAGCTTGTAGAGAGCTGGAAATTTACGTTTATACTTCTAAAGGGTTGTAGTATACAAATACCTATGTGGGAACGGCACAGCACCATTTTAGCAAATGCACGAAAATTTCCGTTTCCTTGATTTCTAACAGAGAAAAAAATACGGCAACGGCGTATATAGATGCCTTTTGTGGCTTGTATTTACGTGAGCAAGTTAGAATTTCTGTAGGATTTTTACGAACTGGGTTACGATTTTTCTCAGTTTTTCGGGCAGTTGAATCTTTTTAGTTTTTGGCTCGAAACTCGTTGTGGATCAGAGCTGTTGCTAAAGCAACCTAGCCATCTTGTAGAACTTGCTTTGCTCTATCGAACAGTACCTTGCATCCTATTCAAAAATGAGAAATTTATGACTTATTGCGTTTGGAAATAAAAACCTGCATTAATTTCCGGACAACCTAATAATTCCATATAAACTGCTGGTGCATAAAGCTTTCCCGCTCCAAAAAAGTTTTGCTGTGCCCACCCATGAACCAAAACCATTGAGGGGCGGAGTGGAGCAAGCTAATAGTATCTCCATCCCATTTTTGAAGAGCCACAAGTTTTTTCATCTAAATCTATATACCGTTAAGCTCACGGAACTGGGATTCGCTGTTGACCGTCTCCTTTTTCCTAGCGCTCCTCGGAAATACATGGCATTTAAGCTGAAAACATGCGTGTTTTTATAAGAAAATTTCTACGCAAAGAATGAATGAGGGCGTCTATTTGTCTAACTGTTTTATAATACAGAACAAGACTTCGCCTGTAAACGTAGACCGTCTCTTTTTTTCTAGCTTTCCTTTCCCTTCCAGAAATGGAGCGCAAACTGATCGCATGAAATCAGTTCATGCGCTAGATAAAATTTTTTATAGATGAACTTCAAGGCTCAGTTACCCCCTTCACCTTTCTAGGTCGGAAATAGCCCAAACTTCCTTCACCTGGAAGAGGTTTCAAATAGCAAGTTAGATTTTCAAATTTTAGCGTACCTTCTACTTGAATGTCATCTTCGTCTCTCATATATGATTCCAAATTAGACGGCAAAGCTCCATTCTTAACAAACAAACTAACAAAAACACTTCACGATCAATCGAAAAGACTTACATAAGCTTGTCCAAAAGACTCAGGCTTTTTTTCCTTTCCGGGAACGTTTGCTTCAATAATGTTGGATTTTGGAGGTGAATCTACCTGTTTCCCTGCATCTACTTGAAGATGAGCTTGCTCTCTGGAAAGTTGTCGTAAATAAAATCCCGTTTATGGAAACAATATTTGTCAACATTGAAATATTGTTTCTTCGTTAAGCTGCTCTTTTTCCGCAGATAGAGGTCAGTTTGATCGAATCTACGTAAAAAAGGGAGTGTTCGGAAAAACATATCTTAGAGCTAAATTAAAGAACACAACACTACCTGTTACCGAAGGTAGTCTTTTCGGCCGCTAACTGCTTTTCTAATTGCTTGATGCGTTCATCGCTAGCTGCGAGGCGAGCCCGAGTCTCAATCTGAATGCATCAAATTTTGAAGTGATTACTTTGAAAAACTAGTGTAATGCTGTAATCCTGCACATCTCTTACACCTCAGACATTTGAGCCTTTATCAGCTCTTCTTCTAATCTCGTCAATCTCTCAGCCCTATTGTTCAACTCGGACAATAGAGCCGCCGTTTTCTCCTCGAATGATTCACGTGTTCTGCAAAAATTCAGAAATGAGACTACTAATCAACAGCATGTATTTGCTTCCACTTCGATATATAATTACGTCAAAATCGTTGGTAATTCTTGCAAAAATACTTCATTTGAATAAAATCACATATAATTGATTTTGAAACTAAGAGACTCGAGTACCCGTTGCACACAATTCCTAAACAACAAGTTGGATGTGTGTTTGATAAACTTTAACCTGATCTGTTTCATTTGAAATTATTGCTGTTTGGTACCACAAGAGAACAAAAGCATGTTTAGACGTGTGCAACACATACAAGAGTTTCCAGAGCTCAGAATAGATGGTATACGTCAATGAGCGGATCTCAGAAGCATGTCATTGACTTCCGCAGTAAATATACCTACAAAATGGCTTATCGCACCAAAATCCGGTACACCGGCGGTGATCATCATTTGTTTTTTTTTTCGGTTATGCTGCGGTTTTGTCCAGAAGCGGGCGCATGCTTCAACAATTCAAATCCCAATAACGAGTCTCGTCTGTTTAGTTACGAATCTTCTGCCTTGTCACAGCAAGTTTTTTTGGCGTAGGTTTCGTTTTTTAAACTTCGAAAAATTTAATCTTATTTCTTGCTCTGTTGCATGTAAAAAATGCTTCCATTACTGCTGCTAATAAGCCTGATTTAATACAACTGCTGCCAATAGATTGTTTCTTTCCGGCGTGTCAGACATCAGAGGAGTCAGGAGTACATTTTGGTGGGTTGTTCGTCCTTACCAATTTGATCGTGAACGTGAAGTTCTCCTTCCATCGAAGGTAGGTGCGTCTAACTATCGGCAACATCCCGTACGTGGTCGAAAAGACAGAATGTGTCGAAACTCAACTTGTAGAAGAGAGGGACGCAAACGCTTTGCCACCCTGAAGCCTTTTGTGTCCTGATTCTTTATTGTGCCTATTTATCAAAGCCCTTCGCTGCTCTTGTTCAGATGTGAAGCATCTTCTGATATATAGGAATAAACTGTTGTTCGAATGAATATTACACATACACATGTAATAAGAAACTGTTTGTTTGAAGAAATTTCAGACATAATCGTGTGCAGACAAGAAAGCGGACGCGAGGTACCGAAGCACGTACATAAAGAATATTAAGGGCAAGCTATGTGCTCAAAGCTAGGTCGAGATATTATAGTGTCTCCCACAGGACGTTCCGGTATTGAGCAGTGAAAGTCGGTCGGGACACCTGGTTTTCTCGCGCTCTTTTGTCCCGAAGCAAACTCAGGTGTCCCGAATTTCTCCCTACACCGATTTCATGAGGCTCGCATGCATTCATTGAGGTCAAACCAATGTCCTGGGAAGCCAATGGCGAATTTCTGAGGATGCCCAATGCACATATGAGAAATCAAAGATACCTGTCTAATTGTGTCTGCACCATGTTTGCAACCGTCGTGAGCAGCTTGTCATCAAAACTGCAGGAATTTTGGTTTTTTGGAGATCGAGTGGATGGTGACCATTCTAGAGAGTGGCGGTACAGACAGAACATATTGAAAGAAAATTTTGCCTGCATCCTAAGAAATTCCATTTAAGAATTTGAAATTCTGCAAGGTTGATTCTGTAATGCAAGGCCACAAGGTCAGTTTTACACTGACGCAAAAAATAGAGGAGAAGTTAAAGAAAAAAAAGACTATTTATTTAAACTTTGGCGCGACTTGGGGAGGCGGTGTTCGTTTGATTCCGAATATGATTCAGTTTGAGGAGGACATTGGGTACCTCTTTCTATTATGATCAGTCGCAGAAACAGGCAGTGCTGTTTACTGCAAATTCCTTATAAATCTGTAGCCTTTTGCAGGTTCTTTTTTGTACCTCCTATGCAATCTCAGACAGTCGATCGAACCCCTCCGGCGCAGAAATGGCAGGGCCGCGGGGTTTCCCCAGCGGGGGGTCTGCCACTCGTGCGCCGGCGCCCCCCGATTTTGCGCGCCGGAGCCCCCCCCCCCCCCCCGATTTTGTGCTCCGCAAGTCTGCCGCGGCATACTGTAGTTAACCCTAAATAAGCTCCAAACCCCAATTATGTCTCTAAACCCCACCCAAATTAGCCGAATACGACCCCCCCCCGGGTAGGACTTCAGCGCGACCCTCACCCCCGTACTCTACCCCCTCCCTCTCACCCCTAGCGTTTGTAGATAGAAAATAGAAGAATGAAGACAAGACGGAACATTTATTTCAAATTGACTGCAAAACGATTTACTGAAGATTGCAGTTGTTTTAATTTGCATCCAATTCTGTTTGTGCCAGATGTGATGAGATGCAGTTCGATCACTACGGGCTTGGTTATCGGGAGGAACAGCTCTGGTCGAGTTCAACGTTGTGTGGTCCTCGAGCGATTCTTCCAGAAAACACACTCTGAATAACATTGGTGGAGTGGCCGTGGAGGTTACTCGAATTTTTTCAGTGATAGGTGTCGTAATTTGTGGTTTTTCCAAGTTTATAAGTGCGAAGCTCTTGCATCGAACTGTGGCCGATGTCTTACGCTGAATGCTGAAAAGTATGAATGTGGCTGATGTGTTATAGACAACAGATGTGTTAGACCAATGGCATGCTTGGCAAGATCACCACAAGATTGGCTGAATAGCACGCAGCTGTGTGCAAATCCAGCTAATGAAGACTTCAGTCCTAAAAAGGGACCCGTCGGTGGAAAAAACGAAGGTTAGGTCTACTGCTGCTGCGTTCACCTATGGAATTGTCGCTTTTACTAGCGGAAAGTACTATCAGGTGGGGTGACCATGTGTAATGAGACTAGTGAACCAGTAACTAAACGTACCTTGCCAAGCATCTTGCCAAGCATGCGATTGATCTGACACATCTGTTGTCTATAACACACCAGCCACATTCATACTTTTCAGCATTCAGCGTAAGACATCGGCCACAGTTCGATGCAAGAGCTTCGCACTTATAAAAATGGAAAAACCACAAATTACGACACCTATCACTAAAAAAATTCCGATTAACCTCCACGGCCACTCCACCTATGTTATCCAGAGTGTGTTTTCTGGAAGATTCGCTCGAGGACCACACAACGTTGAACTCGACCGGAGCTGTTCCTCCCGATAACCAAGCCCGTAGTGATCGAACTGCATCTCATCACAAGCACAAACAGAATTGGATGCAAAATCAAAACAATTGCAATTTTCCTCATATCACATTGTCGTCGAATGTCCCGACAGCAGGTTTTTCGCGTTCAACGTTTCCTACTTTGAAGTGACATCGAAAATCCGTCATGAAGATCGGATCGAGGTTTTGGAACTTACAAATCCAAGCTCAAAAATGAGCACTTCGTAGAATGTACCACTCACAGGTGCGATAAGGTGAGAATGACTCTTCCAGGGTGAAGGGGGTCACAGTGGTCGCAGCCCCTCCAGGGTGAAGGGTGTTTTACTTGGTAGAGAAATCATAAAATGTCGACGGGGGGGGGGGGGGGGGGAGCCATCATTTTTCCTAGTCAAAGTTCATAATTTCCAATTCCTTACCACTGTTTGTCTTTATTATGAAATGTGAAGTGATACGCTGCTGGATTAGCACACAATTATATTTCTGACCGGCACCTTGTACTTTTTTACATTTCCTTTTCCCTTTTTTACATCGGCCTGCCTGTTTTTGGAATTACCATAGATGATGTGCATGCGAGAACATTTGTTTCGGAAAGAGTCAGACAATTTTTAAGCATTTACGAATTTTTGAAAAAAGACGTAATCTGTAGAACAGCAACGTCAGCAAGGTGAATGTTTTTAAAACCACCTTGTCTTCCGCTTTTAGAGAATATATAGTCTGCCTGGAGTCTGTTGAAAAAGTGCCTGGTGAAGAGTGTGGGTAGTGATTTCTGGATATTTTCGAGTCTTTTAGGATGGAAAAATCCGTAACTTCTGAAGATGAATATAATTCATGCCGGTATGGCTACCATTGAAACTGCCTCGTTTTCTGCTTTCAGAAAATATAAACAATGCCTGGTGTCCATTAAAAAAAGTGCCTGGGTGAAGAGTGTCCTAGTGATTTCTGGAGATTTTCGAGTTTTTAACATAGAAGAATTCATAACTTTTTTAGATGAACATCTTGCACGCCGCGATGGTCACCGCTGGAACCGTCTCGTCCTCCGCTTTCAGAAAATATATACTTTGCTTGGGTCCATCAGAAAAAGTGCCGGGTGAAGGGTGGGTGAGACTTTTATAATGGGAGTGCTCAAGTAGACGTCTTTTTACAATGGTAAAAAAGCCTGTACTTGAGCATTCCCATTATAAAAGTCTCACCCACCCTTCACCCGGCACTTTTTTTAACGGACCCCAAGCAAAGTATATATTTTCTGGAAGCGGAGGACAAGACGGTTCCAATGGTGACTATCTCGGCGTACAAGATGTTCATCTTCAGAAGTTATGAATTTTTTTATGATAAAAAATTGAATATCTTCAAAAAACACCAAGCACACCCTTCACCCAGGCACTTTTTTGAATGGGTCTCAGACATGCTATATATTTTTTGAAAGCGGAGGAGGAGACGGTTCTGATGGTTACTATTTTCTTGCACCAGCTGTTCATTTGCAGTATCACGGATTTTTTTATCCTGAAAACTCAAAAATTCCCGGAAGTCACTAGGCACATCCTTCACCAGGCACTTTTTTGAACGGATCCTAAACATGCTGTATATTTTCTGAGAGCGGAAAATGAGGCGGTTCTAATGGTGACCATTGTGCCGTAAAAGATGTTCATCTACAAAGGTTATGCATTTTTTATGTCAAAAACTCGAAAATCTCCAGAAATCACTACTCACACCAGTCATCAAGCACTTTTTTCAACAGACTCCTCCTTTCCTATACATTACAATTCACGTACAAAATATCTCCTTTCTTAACCTTCCCTCACTGTTGATTTTTTTCTCGGCTTTTGGTGAAGGGGGTCACTTTGGTCCCGGCTCAGGGGTTGTTTTGGTTCAGTGGTTGCGGTGGTCTCGCATTACCTCAAACTTGGGTAATTAAACTTTATCTTTGGATCTTTAAATAACATGAACATGAACATGATAACAACAAGCTAAACTACACTGAACTACTATACTAAAGGATAAAAGAAAAGAATACTGAATTTGCTCTTGGCTAAGCCACTTTTATATAACAATATATGTTTGGGTATGTGCTTGAAGGAATAGGCGATGACTAAGCTCAAGTGACAAATGCATGTTTTGTCTTCGAAACCAATCAAAAGTATCAACATACGACTTTTACAAGGTGAATAATGTTAAGAAAATGAAAGGCGTTTGCAAATTCAGTATACTCCGCCGCGGAATGTTGTAGTACGGGAATGTCGTCTGCTTCTTGAGGAATGTCATCGCATCCTTGTGTTATAGGAGTTTTTCTTGTGATTTTCTTTCGCATCCTTTCTTGATCAACGAGAATATCGTTCTGATGGTACACATGATAATTCGAAAGGCCGTTTTGATGATTGTGGAGGTTATTCGCAGTATTATCTTCAGTATAAGCGGGATAATTCCATTGAGGACGAACGTATAAGTCAGTAGTAATGCTCCTGCCACGCTGACAATGGTGATGATCAGAGTGCCGCTCCATTCGGAAAAGACACTCCATATGTGATTGAAGTCAGGCATGGAGATTTCAGAAAATACTTCACTGTCTCCATTCAGCAGATGACGGGCGACGGAGTCGATGCTTCCTACGTAGCGAAGGACACCGACTATTTCAACTCCATTGATTTTTTGTCCACATTGGATGGTGCAGTTCCTATGAAACTTAGCCTTTGCTGAAGTAAATCTGAGTTCCGTGTATGTTCCTCCTAAAGAGCATGGGATTGAAAAGGCATCTTCTTCGCAATGCATTTCTGCCAATGCTTCATTTGTTGATGATTTGCATGAGACATTGACTCGTACTCCGCTTTTGCAGTTGTAACATCCAGTAATTATGGTGTCCTCGATTGTGCAGACGTCATTGGAGAAAATTGAAACAGATTGAAAGTTTCCCCATATTCTTATAATGAATTCGGCTGTAGGCAACTGTGGTATACGTGCCTGTATCTGTCCTTGCTGGGTTGCCCGAATTTCCACATTTGGTTGCAAAATGGGTAATGCGTGCTGTAAATTGCGGATATGAGATGAGAGATTCGCTTCTTTGCAGTCACACATCATCTTCGTTTCTGCTGGTAGGCAGTTGCAATCCTCAACTACTTCACAAGACAGGTTGCGGGCTTCTTCTGGAGTTCGGCATCGTAATGGTGGCTCGAAGTCCCTCGGGGCCAATGAATTGCGTTTTCCATCTGTCAAAAAGATTGAGTTTAGAAATGGTGTTGGTGGAATTCCGAGTGAAGATAGCGTGATTGTTAGTGGTTGATAACTCTTCGGGTGGTTGGGTACCAAGCGAAATTCGTGGGTGTTCTGTCCTTTTGAGTGCGTCATCGTCAATTCAAGGTAGACATATTCTTTCCATCGTGAGCATTTGAAAAATTCGTAGATTTCTTGGTCAT